AAATTTTTTTTGATAGTTTGGTTTTTGTTTGTCGTCTGTTAAAAAATGGAAAATCAAAATGAACATTTTCGTCATATTTTACTTTTTTATTTCCGGAAAGGTAAAAACGCATTGCAAGCTCACAAAAAGTTATGCGCTGTCTATGGTGACAAAGCTTTAAAAGAATGGAAGTGTAAAAATTGGTTTGCCAAATTTCGTTATGGTGATTTTTCACTCAAAGATGAAAAATATTCTGTTTGTCTAGTTGAAGTTGATGACGACCAAACCAAAGGAATAATTGATTCGGATCATCACAGTACAACATGTGAGATTGCAAAGAAGCTTCATGTATCACATACATACATTGAAAATCTCTTAAAACAACTTTGCCATGTACCAAAATTTCTTAGAGGCTTAATAGAAGAGCGGTTCTAGCTTAACAACAAATATAGGTCTAACTTCATTTACAAAATGTTTTGAACCTTGTCTAGAAAGAAAGATCACCATTAGAAAAACCAGCCTAAATATGAAAACAGTATTTCATACAGGGATGACTTCTATGGGGCAAACTTACCATCAAATTGATGATCTTGCCAATTTGTTTATTAGTGATTTTGAAGGTAAGTGGGATGAAAATTACAATAATGTAAAGTTAACTTAATATATAAATTTTTTTGTGACATTTGTGCTATTTTTCAGTTAAAAGCTCATATTTTTATTGATTATATAAAAACTTCAATACCATTTACTATTAAAAAAGAAAAAAATATAGAATATACTTCTTAGAGATAAAAATAAAGTCATTAGTAATGTCTCCCATTTTTCAACAGAAAAAAATGTTTTCTTCAATCAATTTTTAGTTTTACTTTCATTTTCATAGTCAATCAATATCATGATAAAACACATAATCAATATCATTATCAAATGCATAATCAATACTTCAATAGAATCAATAGGTCAATCAAAATCAATACTTGGGTTTCATTCAGACAACCAATGTTTTAAAAATATTTCAAAGAAACATTTATTTGTCATTTAATTGTTACAAAACATTATCTATAAATTACATCTAAAACACAAAATATGTGTTTTAGATGTAATTTATTGATAATGAAAAAAAAGTGTTTTATAATGTATAAAACTATGAACTTACACATACAGTCTTCAGAAGAAGTAGTCAAAATTCCATTTAAAATTTGTTTAGATCTGCCAAGTAGCTTGCCTCTTAGCTGAGCACTGTTCCTTAACAAACAATCAAATGAAGAAATAATTGACGGCAAACTGTCATCTTTCTCTGTGATTTTCATAAACTCTCTCATTTTACTCTCTAGAAAAGATTTATTGCAATTCATATCATTTTTTTCAAATTTAGGATACTCAAATGATAAAGATGCAATTGCTGATAATAACACAGCTTGCTGTATGCGCACTTGATAACATAGTGAACTCCCATATGCAACCAAATGATGAGGGGTGACATTAAACTGACACAATGAGTTTAAAAATTCATGTGAAGTTAGGATATCATCCTCAATTAATGGCCATTTATAAAAAATATTTCTGCTAATAACATCTGCTGGAGCAGGAAGATTAAAGCCTGAGATTATATCAATAAAGTTGTCAATGGCAGGATTTAACAAATTTAATTGAATAAGTGAAGATACCCTTGCAATTTTTACTTCAACTGCACTTGATAAATGACCAATCTGATCAGAAAGATATTGAGAAAATGTTAATAATGGCTGAATTTCTATGCAATAGCCTGCAACTAGGAGTTGTTTGCAAGTCCATATCATGTTAACAAGTAAACTGGCAGAATTAACATTATGATCATCTGAAAAAAGATTGATGCCAGGTAATACATGCTTTGTTGGATATGCTTGACCAATTTTGTAGGTTGCATAATCAGCACATGATAAAGGATGGTTGATGGAACAGCAAAATATTGCCTACATAAACATAAAATTAAACAGATTCATCAAATAAAAAAATTGAAAAATTGACATCCATAAAATACTTTTATAAACCTTAACAAATGCAGCTGACATCTGACATGCATCGATACAAGAACTTACATTACCATCATAAATATATCTAAATTATTTTAGTAAAAAATAAAAAATAAAATAATATCAACAAAACTAGAATGAAACCAAACTAAGTAATAACAATGATGGAAAAAAAAACTACCTTGCAATTTTAGCAGCAAGTACACTAACTAAGAGACAACCCCAAATATCAAATTTTTCTAATAATTTTTTACATGCTAAAATTGATTTTTCATCTGCTAAAATAAGCTCGCGCCATGATTTTAAACCTTCTGATCTTTTGACTACACTGTCAATTGCTTTTGACCACCACATATTAGCACTTCTACAATATGCAAATATAATATTCAGATAAAATATCATTGTATAAAATATATTAAAACATGCAAACAAGTAAAAAAACTAGCATTTTTACAATTGAAAAAAAAAGTTAATTAATGAAATGTTATATAAATAACAAAAAATTTAAGATAACAAAAATGTTAAGGATTGATATATTAGGATTTTCTATAAGTTGCAATTAAAATGTTTGGGTAAAGGAGGTAGTTTTAAAAGTGCTAATATAAATCATATTTTTTTCTTGAAAGGAAACTTTCCTATCAAGAAAAAAATATCAAAAAATTCCAAAACTCTGACAAAAACTCTGATCTTTCAATCCAATTATTTTTTTTACTGTAACTAACTGTAACTAGCAAGAACATTAAGTAATAAACAAATTTTAATATCTAATCTTAAATCCAATCATTGAATTGCCTTTTAGTCACTTCACTGTAGATATAAATGGTACTGCCCTGAATGTAGATACAAATAGTACTGCCCTAGATGTAGATACAGATAGTAACCTAGATGTCAGGGCTGTTTTCAAGTCGCTTTGGAGCAAGTCTCAAGTCAAGTCTCAAGTCACTGAGGTCAAGTCTCAAGACAAGTCTTAAGTCATATAGTGACATCTCAAGTCAAGTCTCAAGTCAAGTCATATTACAATAAAAGATTCCTGTGCATGTGGTGGCTATCAGTGACGTGGCTAGGAGTTCGGAGGCCCCTTCCAAAACCTGTCATAAAAACCACGAAATTTGCGATGGCTCTGGTAGTTACATTCAAACAGTCACCTAACAATTATAAAATACAGCATGATAATAGTTATAATTTTACTTTATTTACTAAAGTAAAATAAACCTCTGTAATAAAATAGCTAAGGAGTCATAATACACAATACAGTGACATAACACTTCATAAGCTATTTAGCAAATTTACTAATGTTTTTATTCTATCATTCTTTTGAAAAAAAGATTACAAATGCTGATTTTCATAAAAAATTATAGTAATATATCCGTGTTACATTTTAAAAACACTAACTGACAAACAGTGTCAGAATTTAAACTTGCATGCTTAGGGTTCATAATCAGGCTATCCTGACTGAATACCCTTTCAACAGGAGCACTGCTTGCAGGTACCATAAAAGTATTACAAATGCTGAAAAAATGAACCAATCAGAATGCACACAAAAAAGTTGGAATTTTTTGAAAACGAAAGAGCCTAAATGCGATATTTTTCTTCGGATCTTGCTTAGACTACAAACCAGTTAAACGTAAGTTAAAATAAAAACATTCAAAAATAAAAAATAGTTAAGAAACAGTTGAATTAAAATAGAAGATAAATTGCTCCATTTTTGAAGAGGCGGAAAATAATAATTTTAAAGTCGCTAAGCTGAAGTTAGCAAGCTTTGAGTCAATTCGCAAGTCTCAGGGTAAAACCCAAGTTGAGTCTCGAGTCGAGTCACTGGTGTGACTTAAGTTGGACTCGAGTTCGAGTCAGTTGACTCGAGTCTCCAGCTCTGCTAGATGTAGATACAGATGTAGGGCAGTACCTAGCAAAAAAACTTTGACTCATTATTGTCAAAAGACAGTGCTTTTTTTTTCAACCTCTTATTCCACCTTTTAAAAACTGTTATGTGACTACTTATACAGTTAATTTAAATTCTTTGATGGTGTTCTTTTATGCTTTAAAAACTTTTTATTTTCTAGCTTTTAAAATGTTTGTTTTTTCCCTCAATTTTGTTTTCCAAACTCATATAATTTGCAGTAGCTCAAGTTCTAATAAAACACTTACCGACTTACCAAAAGAAAACATGAAAATAAAATAAAAATTCTAATAAAAACATAAAAATATTAATAAATTTATTTTAAGAAATAAAACCAAATAGGTGTTATTAGCATAAACAAGCCCAAAATAACCAATATGATAACCAATCAAAAGTGTAGGAAAATGAGCAACCCGTGAAACCCAAAATCATAACAATAATTGAATAATATATAATAGCGAAAAAGAACGTTGCACAAAAACCTTAAAAATGTAAGCGGCATATATGTAAACATTTAATGAAGAATATAAAAATATTCTCTGAATAATAATAAACATGAAAATTGTGCATGTGAAAATTAAAACAAAGCTGAATAATGAATGCAAGATAATATAACATGAAAGTTTCTTGTAAACAGTAATAATATGAAAATCAGGAGATAAATAATATATTAATAATATATTAATATATTAATCTTTTTTTCTCTTTAACAATATCCTTTTTTACCGCTTAACTAAAATAGCTATCTGCAGCCTTGTTGGGAAAAAAAGAGTCATTTGGATCATGGCTCAAAAAAAAAAAAAAGCATAGTATAAATTTTAATTTGTCCAAATAAAAATTATGTGATTATTTTCCCTTCTGTATTCTGTTTTTGTAGAAAAACAGATAAGTGGAAACTATTGCATAGTGATGCAAGTGATAATACAAGCATTAGAATATTGCGTAAAAGAAGCTTTACAGCCTATAGTTTTATAGTTTCTTTTAATTTATCAATACTTAGTTATTTGTTAGAGCAATAGTTTAGACTGTGTCTATGTTTAGTTTAGCCTGTGCAATCTATTAAATGTTTATATAAAATTTTTGAAAATTATTTTAATCTAAAGTATGTAAACAAGTACACTAGAAATATTACCAAAATAAATTTTAATTCATTAGGAACTGCTTAAATTTGTTTAAGCTTATTTAAATTTAAAGAGAACTGAAAATTTCTCATCCTGCACACGCTAAGTGGAAAAAGGATTTTAGAATTTAAATTTCTTAGGGCTTACATTTCTTAAAGATTTTTCCAATTTTAACTTTTTAAATATTTTTTACAAAATTAGGTTAGTAGCTCTTAGATAAAAGAAGATTTTTAAAATATTTTTTTTTTGTTAAGAACTTTAGGGTTAAAAAAAATGTGTTCTTGATCAAAAATCAAACTTTTGCTTATGATACATGATGTGATTTTTTGTGATATTTTAAACTTTAATTTAAATTAAATTAATTAAAGACCAAGAAAAACTGAAAAAAGTAAAATTTTGCATAATAGCTTTTTCAAGTTTAATTCGGTCAGCAAAAATTAATAGGTTAAATCATGTCCATACAAAGGTAGAAAATTTTTTATTTGAAACAAATTTTATGCAAATAATCAAATTTTTATAGATAAAAAAAGATTCTGATTCGCAACCTCTGTACTAAAAGACTTCAATTCATTTTATTTATTAGGAGATTATTCTAGAGCAGCCATGGCGCAGTGGTAGCGCACTTGCCTCAAAAAAGTAAGATCTGTGGTTCAAACCCCACCTCTGGGTAAGTTTTGCGACATCGGTTGGGAAGGAGGCGTGAACTTCCTATTAAATGCTCTTCCACGGTGCTCTGTGATAAGACCACAAGGACTTCTTGGGACACCTTGAAAATTGAAAAAAAAAAAATTCTCTTGAAACCTTTGTTATGTATAATTATAAAAAACAAAAATACAATGTTCTGTGTGAAAATAAATGTACGATGTTCTGTGTAAAAATAAATATATGATATTCTGTGTAAAAATGCAATAAGTGTGTACATGTCAAATTCACTTCCCATCAACTTTGTTTTTGTTTTTCATAGGTTAAATGGTTGAGAGATGTAACAACAACAAAAAAAAAATAATAAAACAACTTCATAGGTTAAATGGTTGAGAGATGCAACAACAACAAAAAAACAACAATAAAACAGCTTCTACCTTTTATCCTTTAAATGAAAAAAAATATTTCCAAGTTCATTCATGGCTGATGCCGCATACTCGGACTGTTGTTGTAAAAGATAGTTGATTGTGTTTTCGTAAGAAGCAATTACTATCGCTAAATCACTGTCTAATACTAGTGGTTGGACTTCAACATCTTCTATACTTGAAAATGAATTTTTCCACAGATTTATTGGTTCATTTGAAAAGGTTTTAGCATTTATTAATAAATTTTTGACAACACCTTGAATACAAACAAATTAATTACTATGTTTTAACATTACAGAAATTTAGAGCTAAAATGATTTCCAATACTGATAACAAATATTCTACTAACCAATTTTTCCAGCTAAGTATCTAAACAACAACTTCCTGCTATGCTTCAATAATTGTGTGTTTTTACTCTTAGTTTCTAAGCAACTGTAAAACTTTTTCAAAACTTCTTCAGCGTGAAACACTACATTTATTTGGTGTTTGTGTGAAAATTCATCCAACAATGCACTTTTTTTTGTTTCTTCACTGTTGCATAATGAACTTTTAATTTTTAATTTAGAGGTTAATAAGTGTGTTTTGAGTATACTATCTCTAGTGTCTTGAGTTTTGAGTACACCATCTCTAGTGTCTTTTAAATGTTGTTTAGAATAAGACAACAATGGAAAAAGTTCTTCGCAGTAGAATTCTCTATGAAAACATCAAAAAAAGTAAATATGGTTAAAAACATGTATAATAAATGTTATTATCATTAGACATAATATATAAACTTTTATTATATACATAATAATAAACTTTTTTTCAAGAGAACATCAAGTTTTACATACAATAAGGATGTTAAAAATGTGCTTTTTCTATTCAAGTAACATCTCATTTAAATTTTCGCGATATTACATCACAAGAGTATCAACAATTAAATAGGCTACACTTTTACATATTTTATTCTTTCAAAAAATTCAGTGATGTCATGAGTTGTCAAAGTTAATAAAAAATGAACAAATCTAGATTATGTCAATCTGTTGTAAATAAGAATTTTGTTTTTCATTAAATCAACAATCAATCAATCAATTTTGCTGGTCAATTTAAGATAAAACTCATATGAAGTAAATGACATGAATTATTACTTTACACAAAGTTAAAAGGTCATCATATGAGAATTTAGATTATTTAAGGATTTTTTAGGATAATAATTATTTAGGATATTAATAGAATATTTATTATAGAAGTAACCTATTTTTGAGTCCAGTGTTGTTTTGTTGTGTTTTTTTTTTTTAAAAACAGAAGAATTTAAAAACAGTGCAAATTTCTGTAGAAAGATGAAAGACATCAACCCGAAGAAGATCACCAAAAAAATCATGAAAAGAATCCCAGTCTTAAGGTAGTAGTCAGAAGTGAAATGAAAAAATCTGATGCAAAAAAAGTACAAAACAAAATATTAGTGAGATCATACAAAAAAAAAGGATAATTTTTTATATTTTTAATTTTTTTATTCATGTACTTTATTCATGTTTTAAACTAATAGAGAACTTGACTCAATCACAGATATGCATGATACCCTAGGCAATAAGCTGTGTATTGCATAGATGGTGCAGGATACCCTAAATAATAAGCTGTGTATTGCATAGATATTACAGGATGAGGGTATCCTGTAATATCTATGCAATAAATAATAAGCTATGTAGCCATAATAATAAGCTATGTAGCCATCTGATTCCTGATAACCAAAGTTGTAACAAAAGGCTTCTTATATGGCCTTAACTATTCATACTAAAAGCACTACCAGGGATAGCATCCATGCACAATTTGAAACTGTGAATTATACTATGATATTTTAAAATTGTTGATTGAATCAACCTCTTTAAGAGATACCAGTGAATTTGTCAAACCTTACTTCCAGGCAGCCTATGAACCATTAAGCTGAGTTTTAGAGCTGTTCCAATGTTAGGTGTTCTCACAACAGAAAGAGTTGCACCATCACAACTAAAAAAACACAGACCAAAAACCCGTGGTAGAGTCATAAAATCTAGTAATTATCTTCCTAGGCATGAAACAATGTAACACAGATTTAAATAAGATCTGGGTGGTCAAGACAAAACTAATAATTATAATAATGGTAAGACAAACTTTTGAGTTTACTATTAAAAATTATTTACTGACTAAAAAGCTTCATTATTACACATTCCTTTTTTAATTTTATCTTTGAGTATTGATCGTTGGTTTTCAATTGAATTTAGGTTGGGTGATTGACTAGGCCACCAGATAAATATAAAAAAGAGAGAAGTTCTGAGTTCAATCCCCATCACGTCCTTAGTAGTACTGCGCTTAAGTTAAGCGCAGTACTACCAGGATCAAGGTTTGTGTTTCAAAGTTATAGATTTTAGAGAGTGGTGTAACCACAATTAAAGCCTATTCAACTGTAGTGGTCTTCTCTGCCTTTGGGAGGCAAATTAACATTAAAAATAAAGAAAATCTATTGATTGAATATTGAATTATTAAACCAAAAAAAGTTTTAAAAGGAAGTCTAAAATAAACTTAGATTCAATATGAAACTCATGTTCTATATAAAAAAATAATATGTTTAAAGGTCTGTGTTTAAACTTCCTTGAAATATTTTGAAAACTAATAAAAGCTTTTCTGCATAATAAAAAAAAAAAAAAATCCTTTTTAGGCCTGGACTGTATATATACAAAATAGTAATACAAAATTATATTAAATTTTAAAAACGCAACTGTGTTAACTCATTTAACCGTATGATGAGAATGCAAACTTTATCAAACTTTTTTTCGTAAAACAAAACTTCAATTGCAAAAAACATCACACGCATCATGTCTGCATAACTAATGTCATAGTTTTCAATGAGACAGTCAGAAAAACATTTGTGTTGTACCTTATTCTAAAATAAAAAAAAATTAAGTTAGATTTGTAAAAATATGTTTCTTTTGTATTATTATTAATTAGTAGAGAGGGAGGAAGGGTTCAAACGCTAAATAAGTTTATTACTCATAAGTTATTTTATTCATAAATATACAATAATACTAAAAACACATAAATACCTTTAAATTTACTGAAATCATATCTAGAATTAAATCAGCAGCATAATAAAAGTTCATGAAGATTATTGATCTTAGGTGATGAATATAAAATTGATTTTCACTATCCAAAGAAGTGTTAACAACAACTTTAAAAACAAAGACTTGAGTGTAGACTAAGAGGTTGTTACAAGCTTGCTGAAGCAGCATCCAGTGTTTACCTCGGTGTGCCAGAATCTAATTTATTGAAAAAATTCTTTTACAAAAAAAAAAAAAAAAGAAACATTTTTTGAAATTAATAATTTCAATTCGCTGGAATTTTTACCCCAAAAGATTCTAGATTAAAAATCACTTAAAAAATGTCGTACTCAAAAAGATTAATAGTGATTCTAATACCTCCTGATCCCCATCTAATCTTTCTAACTATTATAATACCTCCAAATCAGGAAGAGGTGGCAATAATGGGTAAACACATTAAATACTTCTTATAAACAAGACAAAACAAAACAAAAAAAAAACAAAACAAAAAAAAGCTACTAACCATTGCCCTTTTTAAAAACAAACAAGCTTCTTTAAAATGTTCAAGAAACTTTTTGTCAAAGTATTTTGGCTTCTTTATTGCAATAGGTGGTAAGCTAAACCATTTAAACATTCTAAAATAAATTTTCTTCTTCTTGAAATCAACTTGAAAGTAAAAATAAGTTATAAAAACTTACCTTGCATCATTTTCAACAGATTGATCTTCAAAAGCGCAAACCTTAATGTTATCAGTTTGAATTAAAGGCCCTTTCATACTGCCTAACCAATTTACAAGTAATACACCCAACGATCCCAATGAAAACATATTTGAATCGATGATTCTAAAAAATTAATCTTCTTTGTAAGATTATAACAGACCTATAGAAATGATAAAGGCTGTATTTGTGCTTTTTGCCTTTTTTTTTTGTTAAAATAGCTTTTTCGAAACTTTAACAGCACACAATTTAATTTTTAAAAAGCTTTTACGAACCACAAAACATTTTAACTTAGTATCAATGTTTATGAGTGGTAATTTTTTATTATATTTATAAAACATATTTCAGCCATAAAAGAAACGGTAAGTTACTCTTAATTATTAATTACTATTTTCTATTCACTTTGTGTTATTTCTACACATTAAAATTGTTTATTTTAATACAAGCAAATACGTGCATGCATACAAGTTTATCTCTTCTATAGTAAGTGTACATTACATTTATATGTATTTACATATTTGTTTATGGTCACACCACGCGCATCCCTCACCACCCTGAAGAGATCTCTAAGAATGTTGGAGCTGTATTAAAAACTGGGATAGGGATTGGGTTTTTTGGCTTTTGTAGTGTAGTCCTATTATATTGCAATATTGACTAACATGACGTAGAGTGCAGGCGGTGAGATCTGTTGCAAGGACACGCCCCTGACAAGTGGCATTAGTGCAGGTCTCGGGCTCTCCAAAATGTCATTGGTGATTGCAGTGCATTCCTGAGGAGGGGGATCACCATTTATCCACTACTTAATTCTAATTGGTTATTATGACACCAACATTTTTTTCCTCTTACACCCATTAATTTTTGCGCTTTGTGAGCTTTTTATTATGAATTTGTTACATTAATGACATTTATATACTTTTATGTTACGCAGGTGATTATCAGTTCTCAATTTATTATCTAGAGTTTAGAACATATATAATACCACATTTATTAGACATTTGTATGGTGCGATTATTTTAGTTATGGATACCATTATTAAACGAGCGGATTTTTATTGACTTGTTTACTCATAGATCATTGTTTTATCATTTGCTAAAAGATGACTAGAGTGTGAGTTTTGGATCCTCTCTTCCTGAGTTGCTAACTTTTACTCCTCCTACTAAATAGTCTTTACATTAACTTTTTATCTGTTTTTATCTTCACATCTGCCAGGTCTATGTAAGTGGATGGCTCCGTTGGTCACTTTTTGCAATCATTGTGTTGCATAAATAAAAAATTTATTTTTTTTATTTACAGCGATCAATAACCTAATGACTACGCTGACACTCAAGCACACGTTCAGTCGGAAGCTCCACAATGCAAGTCGGATCAGCGCTCGCTGACTATGTACTCGGATCTTGAATCTCACTTCATAGCACAATATTTCACATCAAAATAATGTGAAATAATGTGCTATGAAGGCAGTAGCTCTTTTGGCTAAGAGTTGTGGCTTGTGGCCAACAGTGACTAATGTGTGCATTCGATCAATTGAAATCCATTCTGTAGGTCTTATGTTTGGCTCTGATGTGCTAGCCCATAAGCACAAAAAGTGAGTGTGTTTAGCATTCTATTCACCCAATTTGAAAGTGAACGAGAACGTAACGAGACCATACTAGATGACAAAACGGTACGTACTAATGCACTACACCTGTAAACATCAACAGTCTCCAAAATCAGTATATCAAATATTTGTTCTTTGTTATATATGATCTACACACAGAGTGACTAGAGTGTTGGTTCTCCCCCTGCCCCCCCCCGCCCTCCCGAGCATTTAACTTCATTCTTCACCTTCACAAAAGTCTTATCACTCATTTTATATTTTATTATGATTTTTATTTTTTATTTAATGACACCATCTTTTCACTGTTTTTATTATCACATCTCTCAGGTCTAGGAGACTGGACAGCTCAGTTGGTCACTTTTTGTGATCATTGTGCTGCATTAAAAAAAAAAAAAAAATTAATCTTCTTTGTAAGATATAAGATTATAACAGACCTATAGAAATGATAAAAGTGTTTGTATTTGTATAAGTGGCTGTATTTGTACTTGTTGCATTTTTTTTTTTTTTTTTGTTAAAATAGCTTTTTTGAAACTTTAACAACACAATTTAATTTTTAAATTGTGCGCACACAATTTAATTTTTAAAATGCTTTTACAAAGCACAAAAACAACTGTCCATCACCTAAATAGCATCATCATCTACATGAGATAATCATAGGTGCTGACATCATCACATGACATTATAAGTGCTATAAATCTTATCCATTAAAGTCATAAAAAATTATAAAACTTTTATTTAGATTTTCTACTTTGTTGGATTTGGTTACTGATCGTCACAATAAGCATCACTAATTATGTAATACTGAAGTCAACATAGATGGGCAAAAACTTACATTAACTAACTGATTAGTTGTGAGTAGTATCTACTACTCCACAGATTTGAACAATTGTCAACAAATGGCATCAATCTATGAAAATTCTATGGGAGACCAAGAATTACAACTTCAGATACTGACATGATATGTCTTTTAGAGGCAAAGGACATACAGGTTTTAGACTTAAATTTTTATAACTGCTTCATATTGTGAATGCCTGCACAGTTTAAAGATGCTTTGCCAAGAACTTTGATCATACTGTGCTGCTATTTTCTCAAAAGAACACAAGAATTGACCTGTTTAAATGTGGCAATGCACCATGTTCTCAGACAAAATGCAAATTAAGCAGTTATGAGTTCACAGTCAATGTTTGTCCACCAAACTGAGTTATGAGTTCACAGTCAATGTAAGTCCACCAAACTGAGTTATGAGTTCACAGTCAATGTTTGTCTACCAAACTAAAGCTTTAATTCTTAATTGATTGTTTTTTTTATGTTTTTAATTTTTTTTTTTTATTTCTTAAAAATCACTTTCCATTAAGCACTATCCAACAATTATGATTTGGGGTACAATCACTGCTAACAATCATGGTTATTTACACCTTTTAAAACTAGGTGAATTCTGTCAGAATCTGTCAGTTTTATGAACTATTTAAACCAAATTAACTGTTGGATTAAATTGAAAGCAGAAATTTCTAAACAAAACTCAACTTCTCTAGAAGATCTGAGAAAAACCATAATAAAAATGAAGTGTCATAAAATACTGACTCAACGAACATGTAGTGAATATGAATAGTCCTCAACCTCTTGTTGCCTCAATGTTGCATAGAAGCTGTTATTGTCTCAATGCTATATAGAAGCTGTTCTAAAAGTTGGGTTAGCCCATACAAAAAAACATGATTTATACTGTAACTTATTCATATATGTTTTTTAAACTATTTTTTTTTTTTATAATAAATGCATATACTACCAAAATGTTTTTTTTATTATAAATAATAGGTGGTCAAATATTTTTTGCAAGATATTTTTTTTTTTTTTTTTTTTTTTTTTAACATTTTCACTTCCAACAAGGCTGCAAGCAACCACTATAAGAGTTGGAAGTTACTGGAAGAGAAAAGACTAAATCTGTAGAGCAAGATAACGATTGACTGATGACTTAAAAGATTGCAAATTATATGAATCAGGAAAGCAAGATGAAGGAAGCGAGTTCCAAAGAACTGATGTTCGAGGAAAAAAACTAGAAGAATAAGAGTTTTTGAAGCACTTAGGAACAGTCACAGAAAAAGGATGAGACTTAATTGAATGGCGAGTAACACGAGAATGAATTTTAGTAGATGGCACAAGGGACGCTAGCTCTTTAGAGCAGTGCCCATTATAGTATTTGTAGAAAAGAGAAAGAGAAGCAACATTACGACGATGTGACAAAGGTTGGAGATTGGCTGCCAGAGCAGGTCCAACTATGTTTACAATTCGTTTTTGCACCTTGTCTAAAAGAGAAAGAGCATCATTAGAAGATCCGCCCCAGATGTGGCAACAGTATTCCATACAGGGACGTATTTGAGATTTATAGAGATAGAGAATAGAATCTGGAGTAAGAAAGTGTCGAGCTCGATAAAGAGATGCAACCTTAGCAGATGCTAATTTTGCAATGGATTTGATATACGGTTTAAAAGAAAGATCAGAAGTAAGAGTTAATCCTAGAAGATGAATGGTAGATGACTCATCTAGTACATTACCATTCATAAATATAGGAAGATCTAAATTATTACGATAACGATTGGCCGAATAAAATTGAGTTTTATCTGAATTAAAGTTCACCAGCCACTGTGAGCCCCATGCTGTAGCAGAAGTGAGATCCTTTTCAAGCTCAGATACCCCCTCCAAGCAATCAGAGAGTGTAGGCTTCTTATCATGACAAGAGTAAATGGTAGTGTCGTCGGCGAATAATGCCACCTTAGATGTGAGAATATCTGGAAGATCGTTAATGTAAATTAAAAAGAGTATAGGGCCAAGGATTGAACCTTGAGGAACCCCTGAAGTTACAGGATGTGAAGAAGAGTGTTGTCCATCGAGGACAACTTTTATACTACGATTGGAAAGAAAGGACTCAATAATCTTAAAGACGTTACCAGCTACACCATAAGAAGAAAGCTTATGGAGAAGACCAGCATGCCAAACTTTATCAAAAGCTTTAGAAATGTCAAGTGCGATAGCCTTAACCTCTCCACCTCTATCTAATGCACGGTAAAACCTATCGGTTATTACTGTTAGCACATCAGCTGTAGAACGAGAAGACCGAAATCCATATTGATGATCAGAAAGTAAGTTATTTGATTCAAGATGAGAGATTAAGTGTTTGTTGATTAAAGATTCAAAAACCTTGCTTATGACAGGAAGAAGACTAATGGGATGGTAGTTAGATGAATCAGATCGCTCTCCGGAATTTTTGAAAATAGGGATAACAGATGCTGCTTTCCAGCATGATGGAAAACAAGACTCTGATAAGCACTTGTTAAATAGTTTAGAAAGTATGGATGAAAGCTCCGGAGAACACCTCTGCAAAACTACAACAGGAATGTTGTCAGGACCACAAGCTGTTGAAGAGTCTAAGCAGGAAATTACTTTAGATACAGAAGCTGAAGTGATGCGAATGTCAAGCAAGGGATCAACCTGTTTGACGGCTATGTATATCTGTCTCACATGCTTTCTTCTTGTTTTTATTAGAAAATAACTTGTTGAAGATTTGATCTTTTTGTAGCTAAGCCTCTCAGTTCATTTTGAACATATCACTTTTGTAAAACTTTGTGTACATTGCCGATGCCACATAAGCAACTCTATGTAAATACCTTTGGGTTGATTAGCAGGCAACTACATAACCTATTGCCTAATGTTTCTATGTTATCTACGAGTCTATACATAACCTATTGCTTAATGTATCATGAGCTATGTTTGACTCAAGTTCTTGCTAGTATTTTGAATCATTTTTTAGCTATTATTAGTATTTATAATTTATATATTATATAGTTACCTTTCACTGTTGCACTCGATTTCAAGTTGATTTGTTGGGTGAGAAATAACATTTTTTGTAGATCCTTGTGATACCATATCTGTAAACTTCTCTAAAGCTATTTGAAAATGACATTCCCCATTGATTAGGTACATCTATATATATATATATATATATATATATATATATATATATATATATATATATATATATATATATATATATATATATATATATATATATATATATATATATATATATATATATATATATATATATATATATATATATATATATATATATGTACTGCAGATAAAACTGCATTATATTCTAACTGCAGATAAAACTGCGTTAGGTTAGGTTAAGTTACTTTTTACTTTATTATCATTTACAATTACATTTTAATATCGTTACCCATATAGAAATATTCCATGAAAATTGATGAACAACTTAAAGAAATTTATTCAAAATCAATAAAATTCTATGAGACTTTATAGTTTAACCATATTTTTAAATCATTTGTGTTTCATAGTTACCCCATGGGTCTTCATGTTTACCTCATGGATCCCAAATATTAATCTATGAGTTCCAATAAATTTCCCATGGATCTTAATATTATTTCACAGCTTTCAACTATTTAAACCATGGTAACATATTTTTTGTTATGTAACATGACTAATAATGTTACAATGGATTTAAAATTTTTACCTGTTATCTGGGACATATTGGTACATTGACGGAACTAGAGATGATAGCTTCTTTGAGCAGCGACCATGATAGTAATTGTACAAAAGAGAAAGAGATGTAACTTTACAACAATAGGAAAGAAGCTCAAGCTTAGCAGATAGAGCATGTCCAACTACATTTACAATGCATTTTTGGACCTTGTATAGAAGAGAAAGAACATCATTAAAAGAACCGCTTAAATATGACAACAGTATTCCATACAGGGGCAAATAAGAGATTTGTAGAGGTGGAAATTAAAATTAGGAGTAATGGGGAGCACAATAAAGAGAAGCAACCTTAGCAGATGCTAATTTAGCAATTGATTGCATATATGGTTTCCATGTCAGTAGTAAATAATAATCTAAGAAGATCTAATAATGAGGACTAAGCGAGAAGATTGCCATTCATTAGCATAGGAATGTTGACCATATTGTGATAGTTGTTTGCAGTAAATAACTGAGTTTTGTTGGAGTTAAAATTTACAAGCCACTGCCAGCCCCAAAATACTACAGAAGTGAGATCAGATTTAAGATCAGCTGCTTGTTCTAAGCAATTAAAAAAAGAAGACTTTTTGTCAAGACAGAAATATAAAGTTGAGTTGTAAGCAAAAAGAACTACTTTAGATGCAAGGTTGTTGAGAAAATCATTAAAAAGAAATGATTTGATAATCTCAAAAACTTTCTAGAGATACACATATGAAGCAAGCTTATGGAGAGGACCACAATGCCAAATTTTTTTGAAAGTTTTAGATATGTCAAACCCAATAACCCTAGCCCTAGCCTTTTTATTGTGTATTATCTGCCTCCAATAATACACAATAAAAACTTTCAGCAGTTAGCAAATCAGCCTTAGAGCAAGATTGAAAACTTTGATTGTCTGACACTAAGTTATTTGACTCATGATGGGATGTAAGAAACTATTTGACTAAAGACTCAAAGACCTTGCTAATAATAGAAAGGAGACTGATCGGAAAAAAATTGGAGGGGTCAGAAAGAATAGATGATATTTTCCAGCAGCTAGGAAAAAAAGACTCAGTCAAGCACTTATTAAATAGTTTAGAGAGAATTGAAGAGAACTCTGGAGAACAATTTTGTAAGATTATCACAAGAGTGTTGTCATAGAATAACTAATTATATAGCGTGTGTATGACAAATGATTGGGGTGTATATAAAATTGTTAATAACTATTGTAAAGATAATAATAATAATTATTATGTAACATCAAAATATAATATATGCAAAAAATACATATATAGATACAAAAATAAAATGACTTATAATATAATGTAAGAAATATATTTAAAATAAATAAAAAAACATTAGAATAAATAAAGTATGAGAAATGAAATTTTTAGAACCTCTATTATACAAAACACAAAATTATAGTATAAAAATTAAATAAAATATACAAAAAATATATAGGTACTTACTATTTACACATTTCTAAACACACATTTTATGACCACAAGCCGTAGAAATCGACTATATGACTTGAGCAATCAAAACATGAGTGAATTAACTGGTTTGAACAATGAATTAACCGGTTTAATTGGAATGGAATAAAGAAAACAGCCATAAGATTCAAAAATTGAATTAAAAGAAAAGTTCTTTGCAATTCACTCTGCTTCATCCTAGGAGAGATGAGATCAGTCCCATGAATGAGAAGGAATGTTAGATCTACCCTTTTTAATGACGTTACTGATGATTTTGCAAAAGTCTCAAGACTTTTTTCTAGATTCAGTGAACTGGGAATAATAGAGCTCAGCATAAGAAAATCCATTTTTACATTGATTTCTTGTAATAATAAATGTTTGTTCTAAAAAGAGTTGTTGTTTTGAATAAGATGATTTTTATTTTTAGAAAAATTATTACAATTAGATAAAGCAGCTGCACTAGAAGGTGAAAACCATGGAGTAGAATGAGGCTTGATTTGGAACAGATTAAAGAGCCTATATACTCAGAGAGCAGACATACAGAAAATACGGAAAAACGGCGACTATGTTTTTGCCAAACTAGAGTATGACATTCGCGAATTCAAGTAAAAACAATCGAATGAAAAAAACAAACAAATGAGCACAATAATATTTTAAACAAAAATGTATTTAAAAAAATTAAACCTTTTTATGTTTTATTTTTTCAAAATTATTTTTCGACAAAATTATTTATTTGAGAAATACCTTTAAAAAAAAACACAGCAAAAAAGTAGTTGCAATCAATAAGTAACTTGAAAAAAGCTTTACAATTTATTTTATAAACTAGTTGAACCTAAACCTTTAGTGCCAATGCATGCATTGCCATACTCTTGCTGCCAAGTTCACAAGAACTTTTTTTAGTTTTTTTTTTTTTTACATAATAAACGCTTTTTTTTAAGGCTAAATATTTTTAGTCTGAATGTTATAAACTTGTTTTCTAGCTCCAATTTAATTTGATGACAATTAGGATGCAAAGTTAGACTTTTAATTTGTTCCTCAAAATTAATTTTCTCTAAAAGAATAGTATTACAATTCTTTTGGGAATTAAGGTATGGCTCAAATGATCTGAAGATTAGCTCCATTTGTAAAAAGAATGAAATGTTGTTTCATTAGCAAAAAATAAAGTTTGTGCTCTTTGTCTGTAACCCACTTTGTGCTCTTTGTCTGTAACAAACTTTGTATGATCAGCATTAACTCTACTTTTAGAAACTAGAGATTCTTTTTCAATTTTTTTAACTCTAAAAATTATGTAACCTGCAATATTAAACAAAGAATTTTGCTCAGCATTACTTAAGATTAAGCTAGAGGTTTTATCCCAATTTTGGGTAACACAATGCACTCTCTTTGCTGTGGCTTATGCACCTTACTATTAACTATATCAAGAAAACCAGGTAAAAGTTGACGATCATCTATATCATAACTGCCATTGGATGATTTTTTCAAGTATTTGGCAACGCAAATAAGTTTCAACTTATTTTTAAATTGAAGAGCAGTAGGAATTACTTGTTTTCCACGTACCAGGGAAAAAACATTCTCCAGGCAATACTGAGTAAATCGTGATATCATTAGAAAAATTATTTTTTAGAAGAAACTTATTTTGCAAGTTATTAACTAATGTTGTTGATAATATAACACCAGATTGAATAGGTTTCCACCTTATTTTTCCAGTTTGGCCTTATATTTTTAAACCACGGAGTATCTCTATGACTTCATTTAAAAAAGTTATTGTTTCATTGTAAACTTTGTTATTTTTCATGCTAAGAGCCATAACTGGGTTTTGTGAAGTCATTAATGTAAACCATTTATCAACAATTCCAATAAACCAAGCAGTTGTGAGTATAGAATCATCTTTTATTTCATTTGCAATAAATTTTAATTGACAACTTACATCATGGTTCATTACAGATGTTGCTCTCGATACTTTCATTTTGTTGAAATGTTTTTCATCAAGATGTTCAGGTGTAAGCTTGTAAGCAAACTTTAAATCTATACCTTCTTGAAAGTCTACAAGCTTGTTAAGGTGTTTTGAATCTATAACTAGCAATTTAAGTTTATATTTTTCTTGAATCTTAGCTGTTATTATAAAATGTTTGTTACATAAAAGAGATGTTCTTATATACTTTAATAAATGTGGCACATCTGCTAAAAAATCAATTGTACAAGTAGGGTCACATGGGTGTTTAATTGAACTAGAAATACTTTTAGTACAGCTAATATTAAAAGATCTCCACATTGCCTGGTTAATGGCACCCATATCAGAAGTAACACTATTAACTTTTAATCCTATTTTATCAGAATTAGAATCATAGATAAGCACGGCATTTAGCTATGTAGTTGTCTTAGTCCTGTTAATTAACCCAAAGTCATAATGTGTGTATATATATATATATATATATATATATATATATATATATATATATATATATATATATATATATGAGTATATATAAATATATGTGTATATATATACATATATATATATATATATATATATATATATATATATATATATAATAATATATATATATATATAATAATATATATATATATATATATATATATATATATATATATATATATATATATATATATATATATATATATATATATATATATATATATATTATATATATATATATATATATATATATATATATATATATATATATATATATATATATATATATATATATATATATATATATATATGTATATATATATATATATATATATATATATATATATATATATATATATATATATATATATATATATATATATATATATTTACTAAAAAAATTTAAATAGTACTAGAGACCTTTAAGTATTAATCATCAGTAATACTATTGCAAATGTAATTATCACAATTTTGATATATGTAAATAGTTGTATAATAGAAATATTCAATTGCAGTTTTGTAACTATGAGTTACCATTGTTATTTTATTAAAAAAGGAAGTATTAGTTGAAGGTGACATGTTTTTGTTTATAAAGATAATTTTCATAGGTCAACATATTATTTTTATTTCTTAGTTCGAAAAAGACAAAAAGCTGAAAGAATGGCTGCATAGTTTTTTTGTGTATATATAAAGGGTATATTCTAGACCGTTTTCAACAGCATTTACCATATTTGGGTGCCGCCCAAGTTAAAACTTGAGTATCTTTTTATTTTTTTATTGTTTTTCACTGCAAATATTGTTTAGAAAAATATATATTTAGTAGAAAATCACGAATCAAACTTAAATTATTACTCTGTTCTTTTAAGAAAATTAAAAACATATATATTTATTATTAAGCACTTTAACTTGTAGAATACATTTTTTGTGAAAAAATTATTTGTGTATATATCAAAATTACATAACATTAATTTCATAACTTTATGCTCATTTTGACAATATATATGTTAAAATGAAGGTTCCAGGGCCTTTTAAATTGCAATTTGAAGTCCAATATTTATGTAAGAAAAAAAATCTATTAGAATTTTTTCTTGAAAATGTTTTTTTTTTTTTTTTTTTCTACACCAACAGAAATATTTCTTTAATTTTTTCAGAATTAGTTTACTTGTGTCATAAATACTAAACCCTGGTTTTGTATCCAAAGTAAAATTTGTTCAAGTTCTCCATTTTAATCAATTATTCATATCTAAATAATTTCTTGGTGCAGTGGATGTTTGTGATTCAAATTTTTCTCTTTCTTTTTCACAAATTACATATCTATAAAACATATCTAGATTAGGATAGAATTCTTTTTAAAATCATTTTTTGCTTTATTGCATTTCTAGTTATTGTTAAAAACAATAACTAGCTATAAAATCTAAATCTGACCTAAATTTATTTACGATTCAATTTTAATTACGATTTGAATTTACGATATGAATTTCAAAAATAAAAAGTCTTAGATTTTTTCAAGCTGATATTTGATATATTTAGCAGTGACTACACATATGTAATGTTTGTATATCCAGATTTTTCTTTAAAAATGTTGAGAAAAAAATTTTAGTTGTAAAGGTTTCTTAATATCTTCTTAATATTTTTAACATGTATTGAAGGCTGTCAATTAATTTTTATAAGATTTTTTAGGTTTAAATAAAATGTGGCATCAATATAAATGCAATATGGCATTAACTAAATTTATATTTATAATTGTATTAATTTAAAAATCAATACTTTTGAATACTTTTAAATCTTGTTTTCCTGATTTTGTCATTTTTTTGCCGTTTAATTCCAGAATAAAATCTATAATGGCACATAATGGTCGTGTTTGACATCATTGTGACATTAAAAGATTCATTAGTGAATTTTTTTTATCTGTTAACACTTTTATAATGCAAATAAGATTTTGATAACTCTAAGGTATTCATCAGTTATGGCAGTGTGGTGTTCATCAGTTATGGCAGTGTGGTGTTTTATAAAAGAAATGGATTCATTAAATATTCAAGAAAAAAAAAATCAAAAACTTTAAATCTGTAGAGTTTTGTTTAATAAAAATTATAAATGTTTACAATTTTAATAAATTAGATAGAAGAACAATATTTTTTATTTAGAATTAAACTTCTTTAAGGTCATTAAAAGCGATGAATGATAACGCTTTGGCAATACACACATAAACACACATATACAATTCAAGGCTTAAAATTAAACAAGAGAGATAACACCACTCACACAAACATATACTTCATATATATAAATGATACATAAAAACATATATGATGAAACATATATAAAACTACATACCTGACATCTCCATGGAAGTTCAATATGTGATAATACCCTTAGCTTCATACGCTGTTGCTTTAGCTTTAAAAAATGTAAAAATTTTGGTAGAACATCTTTGAAAGCAGCCTAAAACAACGAATAAAAATTCATAAAAACTAAATGAGGATAACCATTATCATATTCATATCTCAGAAATATCTGGCTGACAGCTTTTATATCAGAAATGTCTGGCTGACAGCTTTAATATCAGAAATGTCTGGCTGACAGATTTAATATCAGATTAGCATCAGTTTACTTCTGAGCCGATGTTAACCTGATAGCTCTCTTTGAACCTTTTCAACAAAGTCCAGTAGAGATTGGATTTTGTTGAAAAAATTCTGGTTAGCGAGTTGTTTTAAGAAATTTGCAACAAATTTCAAAAAATTTAGAAACTAGAAAACTTTTTTTCTAGTTCTTGAAAAGTCGGAATTAAAATTTTTTTGTTTTTTTTTCTGTAAAAATTATCTAGTTTGACAAACTTCGATAAATAAGTTTGTTAAGTTTGATAGAAAATAATAGAATGAAGTAAAAACAGGTGGAATTTTTGCAATTCTCTCTAACTTATAAATATATATTTAATTTCAACTTTTTTAAATATGATTTTACAACAGGCAGCTGTAACTATTCTTTTTTCAAATTCTTTTGTTTAAATATTATTTGACTTATATACAAGTACATACATAACATTAACATACAAGTACATACATAACATTAACATACATGTATATACATAACATTAACATACAAGTATATACATAACATTAACATACAAGTATATACATAACATTAACATACAAGTATATACATAACATTAACATTATAAAGTTGTAACTAAAAACTATTTTCTATTTTTATGACCCATGTATAAGACTTTTTGACTTAAAAATTTGACATAAATTTCTTGACTTATACGCAAGCATATAGGGTAAGTAAAAATCTAAAGAAATTTTATAAAATAGTATAGTACAATATATAAACTATAAAAATAGTATAGTACAATAAAATTTGGTCTGATTCAACTAAGTTTAGTTAGAGAATTTTCTCATTTTATTAATTTTGCTTTAGTTTTTTCTACAAAAACTATTTCAAAAACTTTTTATTTTTTATGATCAACTAATACTGTTTACAAAACATTTTGTAATTTTAAAAATAAAATCAACAATCAAAGAAAATAAATGAATTCATTAATTATTAGGTCATTTTTGTTTAAGATCTCATAATGTGAAGCAAAAAAAGTTTTATCCATAAAACTTTTTTTGCCTTAATTAATGTAGATAGGTTTTAGGCACCAAGGTGCTTTTTTTCTTTTATATCTAAATTACAAGTGTTTTTATAATGTTTTAACTATTTTTCGTAACATTGTTATTGGCATTTAAATTTTCGAATATCTTTGACCAGTACATAATACTGTTAAAGTGCTTATTAATTTCATCATAGTTTCTTTTGTGTTTTTCCACCTGACTGTTTAATTGATCCTAATGGTGGATAATGTTCTAGCTTACATATTTGCATAATATTTTCTGTTATTACTAAAAGACATTAGTTTCAGTTTTATCATCCAATTGAGAAAAAAAATCCAATTAGAGAAAAAAAGAATCCAACTAGAGAAAAAGAAAATCAATTGCTTTGGATGAGCAATTAAAAGTTGTAGGGTACAGTAAAAAATTATTAAAATAACAAAATAGTTAATTGATTTCAAAAAATATTAATAGATTTCAGCATTATTTTTTTTACAAAAATAATTTTTATTTTATTTTTTAGGGAAGTTATTCCTTCAAATAAGGATTTTGTTCTGTGTCCCTGCCTTCATCCTGTTTTTAAGTCAGCCAATACACTCAGTGACAACTTCTCTAAATAAAATGTGAGAGTAATGCATTTTATACTCATCAGCATTTACAAATTTGTTAGCTATCTTGCACACTTAAAAAAAATATCATTATGAACCATCAGCTGGAATCAGTAGGATGTTTTGCAAAAAGTTATTGGAACAGCTAATGCGCAGGCCTAATCTTCATTGTCACTTTTTAGCGGCTGGATAGTTCAGTTGGTTAGAGCATCAAATCAGTTGTTAAAACCTGGATTGTTGCGCAATACTAGTTTAAGGCACTGTTATTGACCAAGATGCAAAAATGGTGTCAATAACGGATGCTGTGATTATTTTCTTCATGACTATTTGTAGATGTTCCTATGCCAACAATATCTTCATAAAAAGTAAATAAACAAAGATAAAAAGTAAATAAACAAAAGTAATATAGATAGAAAATACACCAAAAAAAAAAAGATCTAAAATATTAACTTTACTTCAGTATTCTGAAAAGCCTCAATGAAAAATAGCCACATTATGTTCAATTAATCAATCTACAGTTACCCAGATCAAGAAGCATTACTTTGCAACAGCTTTTTACCATTAAGAAAAGGAAAATGTGGTCGAAAACCTAAGTGAAAGATGACTGATATCTGATACTGAAGAGTATTTAAAAATCCAAAGAAGACAAGTGACCAATTAATGAATGAATTAACTATGCGTGACATCCATGTTTGCTCAAGTACTGTGCAGAGGAGGTTGATAGCTGTTAAAAGGTTTGTCAAAAACCTTCTAAAAAACCATTAGTTACAGATGCCAAGAAGAAGAAGAGTCTCCTGTGGGCAAAGGAATATAAAAAGTGGACTAAAAAGGTGAAAGGTACAACAAAATATAGTGGTTAAGTTTACAGCTATTTTATTTATTACATTTGTATAATCATATTGTTTAAAAAAATTATGTTATTAAATTAAAGAGACTGTTACTTTATTTATTTAATAACAAACTTGATAATTTTTAACTTATTTATTTCTTGATTGCTATTTATAATAGCATTATAAATAGCTCATTCTTACAAGAGTCTCTTAAACAACAAGTTGCTTCTTGTTGTTGAAGAGACTCTTGTATGAATGACTCTTGTATGAACAACACTCAAGAAGCAACTCTAGAGTTATAGATCTCATTCATGCAATTTATGACCAAACAAAACTTGAAACTATCACAGAATTAGATTCAATAAAAATGAATGGGAAAAAATCTCTTATCACTTAACTAGTATCTCAAAGACAAAAAAATTTGAATGCTGCAACTGTTGCTGCAACAAATAATGGCGTTGCTGCAACAAATCATGGCGTTGCTGCTAGAACAAAATTTAGCAAACGATCAAGTTTTTTTTTTTAACTATTCACCACCCCAAGGCCGAGAAGAGCACTACAGTCAAGAAGGGAATTTTTGTTTTTGTGGTTACAACCCTTTCTCAACTCTATAATTCCGAAACACAAACCTCAACAAAGAAGGCCCCTGCGCTGAGAAACAAGTTGAGCATGGTACTACCAGGGAAATGGTGGGGATCAAGCTCAGAACTTCTCGCTTATAAGGCGAGCGCTCTACCACTACTGCATCTATAATTAATCAACTATGCTATTCAAACACAATCCATTAATCAACTATGCTATTCAAACACAATCCATTAATCAACTATGCTATTCAAACACAATCCATTAATCAACTATGCTATTCAAACACAATCCATTAATCAACTATGCTATTTAAACACAATCCATTAATCAACTATGCTATTCAAACACAATCCATTAATCAACTATGCTATTCAAACACAATCCATTATTCAACTATGCTATTCAAACACAATCCATTAATCAACTATGCTATTCAAACACAATCCATTAAGCAGGTACTGATGCACGAGAACTGGTTGAAGCTGAAGCCAGAGTAAATATTTTAGGTGAAGAATCAGAATTTGAAGATAAAGACGAGTATGAAAATTATTATATATGTAACCAAGAACATTCTGTTTTGTCTTACAATTACAAACAATCAGTTTCCCAAATCATAAAAATTTGTAAGTTCTTTCAAAAATCTTCAGTAAGTAAAAAGTAAGAAAAAAATTTATTCATTAACAAAAAAAAAAAAAAAAAAAAAAAAAAAAAAAAAAAAGAATTAAATTTAATTCTTGACTTCAAAACAAGGTGGAATAGTAAAGTGAAAATGAAGAACTTGTGGTTTTAGCACAAGTTCTTCATTTTCACAACATTCGGAATTTCATAAAGACTTAGAACCAATTGGAATTGTTGAATAATAATTGTTTTGCATAAAAAATAATAATTTGAATAAAAAAAGACAGAATTTGAATTTTAGATAGCAATTTCCTTATAAAATGCAATCATTTATTTTAGCGCAACAGTCACTGATTTTAGCGCAACAGTCACTGATTTTAGCGCAACAGTCACTGATTTTAGCGCAACAGTCACTGATTTTCGCGCAACAGTCACTGATTTTTTTTCTAGTGCTTGAGATTATATTTTAAATATATAAATGGCTAACAATTTGTTGAACTCATAATATAAGTTATTTTATACTGCAAGAATTGTTTTGTTTTTAATGCAGACTTTTAGCATTATAAATGTGAATATAAATATTACATAATTATAATGCAAAACATGGCAAGAGGTTTCATTATTTATTTTTTTTAGTAGTGATTTTTTTTTAAGATTTTATTATATTTATTGTTTTAAAAGTTTTTATTCAAGTTTATTTTTTATAATAGAAAAACTGCAAAACTTTTTATAATAGAAATAGTAGAAAAACTGAAAAAAAAAACTGAAAAACTTTTTTAAAGTTATTGCAACAACAACAACAACAACAACAACCAATTAAAATGCAAATCTTTTTAATTAGATTGAGCTAACTGATGTTACTCAAGTATAATAAAACTATTATACTCTAAATATAATAAAATTATTATACTCAAATGACATATTAAAATTATAAAACTCTAAATTGTATTAATAAAATACAAAATTATTTAACTGATAAAGTATAAAATTATTGCACTCTTAATTATTGAATAATTATTTTTATTTTTTGTGATGAATTATATATTGATAAAATGAATGAAATAAATTAGTTTCAATTCAAGTAAAATAAAAAAATGTAATGTTAAAAAAAATACAATTAAATGTTCTACTGAAAAATAAAATATTAACATTGTGGAATTTTTAATTGTTGTAACAGCTCTTAAAATTCCTGCATTCTATTACAATAAGAAATTATAAAACATTTTTTATAAGCAGTAAAAACTTTAATAGCTCTTTGTTTGTCAAAGTTTTTATCAAATAAGTAAAGTTGTTAATAAACAAATGGGTAACTAGTGTAATAAAGTTTTTCGAAAGAATTTTTTAATAACAAGATGAATGACACTCATTATGCATATATTCTTGTAACATCAATGTTACAAGCATATGCTTATAACAAGTATAAAATCAAATTTTGTATTTGTAAAAATCGAAAGCTCTATTAAAAAGCTGTTTAAAGGAGCAGCTTGCAAATAAAAGAAAAAAAAATAACTTTTTAAAATATGAAAGTATATTAATAAAATGAATAAAAGAGTTTGAATTAATTTGAGAATTAAAATAACATTTTTTTTTGCTTATCATATACAATTATTTTACGTATTTTGTTGTATTGTTTGTCATACTAAGTTGTTATACATACTAAGTTGTTGTCCGTTCTTATTGTTGTTATACTTTAATCTGTTCTTTTAGTTTTTAAGTTGTTTTGAGAAGAATCAACACAAAATTTGAGAAGAAAAAAAGTTCTTTATAATTATTATATGATACAATACTAAAAAGACTTTTTTTTACAGCATTATTACAATCGCCTTGAAAATTAATATTATTTTAAAATATTACTATAACCACCTTGAAATTTAATATTTTTTTAAAATGTTATTACAATCACCTTGAAATTTAACTTTACTGTAGATTCTTGTTCTTTTGTCTGATTGGTGAGTTTATTTTTTTTGCACAAATCTGATCTCTTAATAACATTTCTAAGTTTATTTGTTTGATGAGGTTTTTTTATATGTTTGTTTTCATTTTTCTGAATTTTTTTTTCATCTTTTTTTGCATCACCATTATTATCTGTGACCTGAAAACAAAATAAAAATACCCAAGATATAATAGAAATTTAAATCAGTCATTGGAATAATAAAGATGTAATAAATTAAATAAAAACCAACAAGTAATATAAAAACTACAACAAAACAACCTGCAAGTCATCTTTCATTTCAACACATGATTCATTTTCGTTGGCAATTAGAAATTTTAAATTTCTTCTAAAAAAAATTTAACAACGTTAGTAATAATAAATAAAAAAACAAAAACAAAGCTAGTAATAATTAATAGATCAATTAACAAGAACAGTTCTATTATTAGATATTAAAATAAATTCAAATTAAAAAAAACCTATATAACTAAAAGAATGAAAAAAACAAACATAAAAGAATGAAAAAAAAAAATTAATTCATACATCTTCAACAAACTTAGTGTCTCTTCGGTCCATTTGATAACATTATTAAATGATCTTTCATTTAAAGCTTTTGAAATGACTCCAACAAAATTTTCTAAGAAATCTGCTCGTTTCTTGAACTTAAATACTATAATATGACAACTTGAATTATTTTAATTTATGTTAGTAAAAGATAAAATAAAAAACAGATTTCATGTCTTGAGATAAAAGATAAGTGATAAAAGAAAAGGTAACTTCAAATGTCAAGATTTTATGTCTTGAGATAAAAATTACATCAAATGTATTTTATTAATCAAGCTTTTAAAAACATCTATTTACAAACATCTTTATTTTTCAAGCTTTTAAAAACATCTATTTACAAGCATCTTTCAACTTCAGTTTTTATGCAATTATTTAATTATTATTTAATTATAATAACAAATAATTATTTAACTAAAAATTGCCTCCTTTACATAAGGTCTCAATATTATGCAAGATTTTTTAGTTAAAAACCATTTTGAAAAACCATTGAAAAGTAATTGTAAACGCAATTTTGATTAAACTTTAAAAAAGTTTAATCAAAATTGTGTTTTTTAAAAAGTTAACTAATTGATAATGTATTTTAAGTTCTGCATTCCATACTGATGCTTGAATTACAAGTTTTCAGATCATAAAAGTTCCATTGCAATAAAACTGAATGAAATTAATTGTTTATGAGTATCTCTAATCAAATTAAACTATAACAAAATTTAGTGCAGTTCATAATCTGGATTGGACATATATAGTCAAGCTTACATTATGTTGCTGAAAATTGAAGCTGGTTCAACAGTTTCAATAAGTGTTTTTATATATTTCTAAAAATTATCACTCTGCTTCTTAACCAAAAAAAGAGTAAGAAATAAAGATATCTTTTTTTAAACAAGTATACAAAGTAATACAATTAGAAAAAAAACATTTAAAAATAATATAAAATTCAACTTTATGAAGACAGGAGAAAGGTCCTAAGCATTGATGTTCAATGAAAAAAAATTATTGAACAAAACTTTTTTGAGCATGAAGGAGCATGAAGTAGCAGCTAGAGTACAAGGATTTAAATTCACAAGTCTTGTCAAGTCTTGCTGAAAGACAAAATTGTGTTTTAATAGATAGAATAATAGTTAAGAACTTAGTTTTAAGAAACTTAAAACCATACTTTAAAACCACCTTGCTTGAGCAACAACTAATAGTAATATTTGTAGAACACAGAATGAGAAGCAAATTTACAACAAAGGTACACAAGCTTGAGCATTGCAGGTAGAGCAGGTCCAACCACATAAGAAATCTGCTCGTTTCTTGAACTTTAAAGTCTTATATAATATTTAAATGCTTTTGTCATACAAGGACAGAGAAGAAATTTATAATGCTATAGAATGAAAGCAGTAGATAAGTTAAAAAATTTCATGTTCTATTAAAGGAGGCAACTTTACCAGATAATAATTTTGTAATTGATGTATATATGGTTTCAAGAAGTCATTATGAAACAATTAAATCAAAATGCAAAATAGTGGAAAAATTTAGTAAAAGTGTCATTTATCAGGATATCAGCATTATTGTATTAATCCTTAGATGCATTTTTAACTAAACAAAACTTCTTTTCGTTTGGTTTAAAATTAACCAGCCACTGGAGCCATTTAGGCTGCCATAAATGTGAAAACAGATTCAAGATTGACTTTCTGTTCGAAGCAATGAAAAACTTATGAATTTTATCGACTGGAGATTTTGCAGCTAAATATTGTTTAAAAAAAAAAATGTTGGTTCAAACCTTTATGCTTTGGAAATTTCATCAGGTTCAAACCTTTATGCTTTGGAAATTTCATCAGGTTCAAACCTTTATGCTTTGGAAATTTCATCAGGTTCAAACCTTTATGCTTTGGAAATTTCATCAGGTTCAAACCTTTATGCTTTGGAAATTTCATCAGGTTCAAACCTTTATGCTTTGGAGATTTCATCAGGTTCAAACCTTTATGCTTTGGAAATTTCATCAGGTTCAAACCTTTATGCTTTGGAAATTTCATCAGGTTCAAACCTTTATGCTTTGGAAATTTCATCAGGTTCAAACCTTTATGCTTTGGAAATTTAGATAAGAAAAAATGATGGTTCTAACCATTATGCTTTAGAAATTTAGATAAGAAAATCAAAATTATCTATAGCAAAAGATATAAATAAATTTTTTGAAATAGACATTGATTATTATGTTCAAAAAGTATAAAGAGCAGGGAGAAGAACATAAATTTTTTAAATAGGGTTGTATTAACAACCCCATCTGATCCCTGTCTTAATGGTTGTTATTTCAAAATTAATTTTTTTAATATACAAAACTTGATGTTTTTTGTTTTTTTTAAAATGGGAACTGATAAAAAAAAAAAAAATCCAGTCAAAAAAACTTCAGAATGATGTCAAAAAAATTCAGAATGAAGACCTTTCTTAGAGAGCGCTATGGTACTATAAAATTTTAAAGAATTTAACAGCTTTTTTACAAGCCACAAAAGTTTCAAATTATTACAGCAATGTGTTTCTGGTGTACAACAAAAGTTTCAAAATGTTTCAACAATGTATTTTTGGCATACAACAGATGTTTCAAAATGTTTCAACAATGTATTTTTGGCAGACAACAGATGTTTCAAAATGTTTCAACAATGTATTTTTGGCAGACAACAGATGTTTCAAAATGTTTCAACAATGTATTTTTGGCAGACAACAGATGTTTCAAAATGTTTCAACAATGTATTTTTGGCAGACAACAGATGTTTCAAAATGTTTCAACAATGTATTTTTGGCAGACAACAGATGTTTCAAAATGTTTCAACAATGTATTTTTGGCAGACAACAGATGTTTCAAAATGTTTCAACAATGTATTTTTGGCAGACAACAGATGTTTCAAAATGTTTCAACAATGTATTTTTGGCAGACAACAGATGTTTCAAAATGTTTCAACAATGTATTTTTGGCAGACAACAGATGTTTCAAAATGTTTCAACAATGTATTTTTGGCAGACAACAGATGTTTCAAAATGTTTCAACAATGTATTTTTGGCAGACAACAGATGTTTCAAAATGTTTCAACAATGTATTTTTGGCAGACAACAGATGTTTCAAAATGTTTCAACAATGTATTTTTGGCAGACAACAGATGTTTCAAAATGTTTCAACAATGTATTTTTGGCAGACAACAGATGTTTCAAAATGTTTCAACAATGTATTTTTGGCAGACAACAGAAGTTTCAAAATGTTTCAACAATGTATTTTTGGCAGACAACAGATGTTTCAAAATGTTTCAACAATGTATTTTTGGCAGACAACAGAAGTTTCAAAATGTTTCAACAATGTATTTTTGGCAGACAACAGATGTTTCAAAATGTTTCAACAATGTATTTTTGGCAGACAACAGAAGTTTCAAAATGTTTCAACAATGTATTTTTGGCAGACAACAGATGTTTCAAAATGTTTCAACAATGTATTTTTGGCAGACAACAGATGTTTCAAAATGTTTCAACAATGTATTTTTGGCAGACAACAGATGTTTCAAAATGTTTCAACAATGTATTTTTGGCAGACAACAGATGTTTCAAAATGTTTCAACAATGTATTTTTGGCAGACAACAGATGTTTCAAAATGTTTCAACAATGTATTTCTGGCAGACAACAGATGTTTCAAAATGTTTCAACAATGTATTTTTGGCAGACAACAGATGTTTCAAAATGTTTCAACAATGTATTTTTGGCAGACAACAGATGTTTCAAAATGTTTCAACAATGTATTTTTGGCAGACAACAGATGTTTCAAAATGTTTCAACAATGTATTTTTGGCAGACAACAGATGTTTCAAAATGTTTCAACAATGTATTTTTGGCAGACAACAGAAGTTTTAAAATGTTTCAACAATGTATTTTTGGCAGACAACAGATGTTTCAAAATGTTTCAACAATGTATTTTTGGCAGACAACAGATGTTTCAAAATGTTTCACAATGTATTTTTGGCAGACAACAGAAGTTTCAAAATGTTTCAAAAATGTATTTTTGGCAGACAACAGAAGTTTCAAAATGTTTCAACAATGTGTTTTTGAAAGTCTTTGAATTTAGAAAGTAATAGCTCAAAAGAAAAAAAAAAATTTTGGATGAACATATTGGTCATCCATTAAAACATTATTAGATATAAGATAGCCATTAGAGATAATTTTATTTTAAACTACCAAAAATATTTTAAAATAAAATTCAACCTTCATTGTATGCTTCTAGACTTGTCATATTATCCAAATCAATTTTAAAGATAATTGAATCTTCACCTCCATTGAATAACAGATCTTTTTCTAAATGATAATTTTAAAAAAGGAATTTATAAAAATACTTTGAATATTTAATATAAGTTAATAGTTAAAGTCATGTTTATGCTTTTTTATAATATTATTTAAAAAAAAAAATAAACAAATAGGTTTTCGTAAAATAATTTCAAACAATATTTTGTTAAAATTTTTGCATATGTTTTAAATCAACTTTTAACATGAAAAATACAAACCTTGATTTGAAAGTTTTAAAGCCAACAATTCAATAGTATGTAGCTTTATCTCCCTTGTATAAAATTCTTTTAATTCACAACTAACACTTAACCTTTTCCTAACTTTTTGATGCAAGTTCACTTTGTTGACTAAAAATTATTGCAAAAACATTAACATATATTTCAAAATATTGAAAAATAAAAATAAATAAGATCACATACTTTAATAATATCAATTTTTTTGAGTGTTGTAAATAATATTATATAATGATAAAATATAATAAAACAAAACTATGAAATTATAATAAAAAGTATAAAATAAGGACCTGAGACAACTGAATCTAAGGCATGACCATTTGATAAGATATTAGAACAAATATTTTTACCCAACTGCAATACACTGATGGCGGCTGATTCACTTTTAAGTGACACAAGAATCTAGATTTAAAAAAAATAAATTTCTGAACTCAAAGTCTTTTTCCTCAGTCTTTAGTTTAAAATGTTTTATAACTGACACAAATTAACCTCTTGTATCAGAAAATACAGCTCACTTTAATGGCCAGTTAGAATATATAGATTTTTTATAAGAAAAACTTGTCTGAACATAAAATAAAAACATACTTTGGCAGTATAATTAGTGAGACAAATGATCATCATTCGAAGAGTATCTGAATTAAAACTCATATACTTTAAAACATTCTTTAGTTCTTGTAAAATTGCAAATAAAAACTCTATGATCTGAAAGAAGGTATGATTTATATTCAAAAATAAAAAACAAAAAATTTTAAAGAAATAAAAATTAGCACAAATATGAGATATACATATGTACACTACCGTCCATAATTATTCGAATGGTCATACTTTTCAAAATTATCAAATATGTTATTATGAGAGAAACTGAAAACAAATATTACCTGAAACGCATGCTATTTTACTTTAAATATTAAATTAATTAATATCCATTAAATTAAGTCATAGTTTACTTTTATCTATGTAACCCCTTTTCATGGCAATAAGGGCTTTCCATTTTCTTGGCATTCTGCATAGCAACTTTTCCAATTTTTCAAAGTCAATTTTATGCCACTCAATACTAATTTTTTATCAATTCTTTTGGACTGTTTGAAATTAATTTTTTTATATTTCTTTTTAATTCATCCCATAAAAGTTCAATAGGAAAAAGATCTGGTGATTGGGGAGGCCAAATCATTTTCTTCAATATTTGATCGTTCCCAACTCACTCAAACAATTTCTACAAAGTTTTGAAGAATGCTTTGGATCGTTATCTTTTTAAAAAGTGAATGATTCCCGAAATCTCCCACTTCCCGAAGGTATGGCATGATTTATCAAAATATCTAAATAAGTTTTTTTCATCATTACCTATATTTCATCATTATCCCCATTATATATATTTCATCATTATCCCCTATATTTTTACAATGTCACCTGTGGTATTACCACCAAAACAGTTAAAAACCATAACACTAACACCACCATGCTTCACAGTAGGTATTACACACTGTTTTCCATCTGCTCACCAACCTTTCTTTGAACAAATGATCTTCTCTTGGAACCGAAGATTTGAAACTTTGACTTGTCGGTCCTAAGAACACATTTCTAATCATCAATCATCCATTTTTCATGTAGTTTTGCCCAATCAAGTCTCTTTTTTTTATTTTGGAGCTGAAGGAATGGTTTCCTTGCAGCTATTCTACCACTAAGTTCATCAATTGCCTCTTCCCATAGTTAGTGATACGGAAGCTCCTTAAAAACTATTTAATGAATGGGTTATTTCCGGAGCAGTTAATAATCTATTTCTTTTACTAGTGATTTTAATTCTTCTGTCTTCGGCAGCAGACATAATTCCATGGTGCCCTAATTGTTTTTGATTAATTATACTTTCAGTTTCTTCTTTATTTTTATAACATTTCAACTGTTGAAATTGAAATTTTGAATTTTTTTGCTATTTGACACAGCATATTTTTTTTTGCCACAATATTGCAGATTGTTTTTCAAAATTCTGGTTTTCTTGCCATTTACATTTCAAAATATTAAAAATTTATAAAAATTAATAAACTAATAGCAAGTAACCAACTATTAAAATTTACTTGAGCAAAAGAATAGCGTAATTAAATCTTTTGAAATAACATATATATTAAAAAACATCATACGGTATCATACTATTTATTTCTTTTTTTTAACAGTTTTATTAGTTTGATAATAACTCTCACTATATGAGCCTGAATAATATTAAAAAATAAATAAATAAATGATACCGTATATGATGTTTTAATGCTTATAATATTATTACACATACTATTTAAGATGTTACTTAAATTTTATATATATATATATATATATATATATATATAAAATATATATATAAAATTATATATTTTATATATATATATATATATATATAAAATAAATAAATGATACCGTATATGATGTTTTAATGCTTATAATATTATTACACATACTATTTAAGATGTTACTTAAATTTTATATATATATATATATATATATATATATATATATATATATATATATATAATATGTATATTTATATATATATATATATATATATATATATATATATATATATATATATATATATATATATATATATATATATATATATATATATATATATATATATATATATATATATATATATATATATATATATATATATATATATATAATATGTATATTTATATATATATATATATATATATATATATATATATATATATATATATATATATATATATATATATATATATATATATATATATATATATATATATATATATATATATATATATATATAATGAAATACTATATATTTAAAAAAGTACTTTATATATATAATGAAATACTATATATTTAAAAAAGTACTTTGAAAAAATTTTAGAAGAGGTAAAATAATTAAAACAATAACGAAAATTCACCTGTAATGCAGGACAAATTAATAATTTCCAATAAACAATAGGAAATAATAATTCATATATGAGCACGCAACCCTGCATGCATAATGATTCATCATTTAATAAAGCTGACACTTGTACTCCAAGAATAATTTTTCTGCAAAGATTAATACGTTCTAACTAAAAATGAAAATTATACATTCTAATAAAAAATGAAAAGAATCATACATTCTAACTTAAAATAAAAACAAGAATATGCATCAAAAACTTAATATTTTTAAATTTTCAAAGACAAAAGATATATTAACTAAAAAGGTATTTAAAATAATGTATATCTTTTAAATCCAAAAATGTAAAAATATATATTTAAGAAAAAATATTTTTTTTTTGTTGGGTATTAATCTTATAAAATAGAGTTTTTTAAAAAGAGTAAAACTTACACCCTTTTTGGTTTTAAGTATTTAAACTTTGTTAGGAAATTAGCTCTATATAACAGTTGTAATTTGGACCCCACTCCATGCTTAGGTAGCTGCAATGATAACCTTAGGTAGCAGCCATGATAGCCTTAGGTAGCAGCCATGATAGCATTTGTAGTAAAGAGATGCAACCTTATGACAATGGTAGAGGTTCAATATTAGCAACTTGAGCAAGTTTCACAAAATTTACAATGAGTCTAAAGACTTTATCTAAAATAAAAAGGGGTTCATTAGAAGTACCAGCCCAAATATGGCAGTAGTACAAGGAAAATTAAGAGATTTATAGAGTTAGCGAGTAACCAGAAGTAAGAGATGGCAAGCACAGTAAAGAGAAGCAATTTCAACATATGCTAACTTTGTAATTGAATACGTATATGATTTTCATAAGAGGTCAATTATGAATGAAAGTTAAATCAATTAAAGAAAAAGTATATCAATAGTTAATTAATGCATAAATTACTTATTTTTTACATTAAGAGCAATAGACCTTGCCTCACCGTTTCCATCTAATTCATAATAGAAACTTTCTGTTACAATGATACAAATCAAAAGGAAAATAAGTACTAACGTACAAAAGTTATACCTAATTAGATAAGTTATACCTAAGATTAGATATTAGAAGTTTGTTAACTAAAGATTTTCAAACACTTTGCTAATAACAGTGAAACTGATTCGGAGTGTAATCTCAAGAGTTCTTTAAAATTGAAATCATTTTATTTTTGCTATTTTTCCAGCAAACAAGAAAACAAGATTCAATTATGCATTTGTTAAATAGTTTAGAAAGTAATGAAAAAAGTTCTTGACAACACTTTTGTAAGACTGACAGTAATATTGAATGTAACACAAGCTGTTGAAGATTTAAATAACTTTAGTAACATGAGGAGGAACAATTTGGATATCTTACCTTTTTTTTTGAGGGGGGTGGGGGTGATATGGAGAGTCTTAGAGAAATGAATTAGAGGAAAAGTTCTTTGTAAATAGTAATGCATCTATAGTAATGCAATTATCCTTGGGTAATAAAATCAGATCCATGTACAAGAGATAAAATGTTGGGCTTTCCTTGAATTATGTTTAAGATATTTTAACTCACTTGACTTATATCTAAACCTCACTAACTACATAGAAAACTCTGAAGTTGGTTAGTAAAACACTTTAGTGTTATACTAACTAACTGTTCCTCAAGAATTACCATCTAGAATTTATCAAAAGAAAATTTCCATAAGCCTAAAACATGCACAGAAAGAAAAACACACACCAAACCAGCTAAAAACAGTTCCTTACACTACCACAACTTCCTTACAATATACACATCTCTATATATTGTAACCAAGATTAATAGTTTTAATATTGTCCCTTGGAGTGTATTTGACCCGAAACCCTTGGCAGCCATTGCAACCAAGGTATATGAAAGAAAGAGTTGTAGCTTTGCTTTATAAGAAAACATATAGTTTTTTTATATAGTTTTAATTTTTAAATGATCAATGTGCCAGCATGGCTGAGTGGTTAGCGCGCTGAGTTTCTGAACAAGAAAGCCGTGGTTTGAGTCCAACCACCGACCATCTTTTTTTATGTTTTTATATTTTTTAAAATACAAAATACTTCTGAAGTTTTATACAAGTTATATACAAACATATTTAACAATATTATACAATTTAACAAAAAGATTTTTAAAAAGGCTATAAATTCTAAAAACAATATAAAACAGGGGGATACTTGTTGTGTATGTGTCATTATTGAGATACTTAAGTTATTTTAGTTTTATATTTCAAGTTTATTTACAACTAAGTTGAGTTCATGCAAGGAAAATGAGTATACAGCATGTTTACATATAGAATATAAAATCTATGAAACTATATAGTTTTTTATGATTTGCATTTTAAATAAAATTAAAAAACAAGCAAGTTGATGATTTAAACTTGCCACGAGGCAACCTTAACTTTTTTTAAAACGATACGGGGGTTCAAAAAGTATGTGTCTATAAGATAAGAACATAATTAAAAAGTTTAGTTTTATATTTAAATTAAACCATTTTATAAAATTCATTATTTTGAAAAATAATTAAAAGTTAAAATAATTTCATATTAACATAAGGAAATTAAGAGTTTTACAGCTATTTTACCACGCCCCCGTTAAGCATTCTAAAACAAGTTCACAACAATGACAGAATTTAGAAAACCTTAAAAAAATGTTATACTCTGTATAGTATTGGAAGAGTCATCATGGGATGTCTTTAACTTATGACGCATGAGGCAATGTAGATGTTCACGCGGTAAATATTTGAATTTTTTATTTAACTTTTGTAAATCTCTGAAATATCTTTGAATATCTCTTTTATCATTACCATAAAAATTATAATTATTGAATATACTTTTATTTATAAATTGTACGAATATTTTGTAGTTTTACAATCTGTTTTTAAAGTTACTAAAGTTTAACTTTTTAATGTTTCAGTTAATGAAACATGTTCTGTTTTGTAGGTGATGTGTAGAAATTGTTTCTCGACAAGCTGTTAATTTCATAGAAGCTGAGGATGACCTTATTTTAAATATAAGTAAGTTGTTTTTTATTTTTTAATGCTTTTGTTTTTGTTAGATATTTAATCATGTTTTATATGAGTCTAATTATTTAGTAGTGTTATCGTCTGGTGGTGATATTCAGGTTAGATTTTATAAAGTTAAATTTACTTTTAAAGAATCTTTCAAATTTACATCTTAAAAAATTTACGTTTGCTTTTTTTCATTAGTTCTTAATTCAACAAATTTTTTTGTACAGAATGTTTAAAAATGAAAAACAATATTAATTTGATTGTTATTTTAATTTTAATGCTTATCACATATTGTAATATTTATGAGAGTTTAAAGTGGGCAGTGGTAAATACTTAACTACATCTATAAATAGAAGAGGTATTTGAATGTATTTAGTTTACTGATTTTTTTTTAAATTTTTGTTTGTAACTAAATGAATTTTTTAAAAACTACTATTTTTTTTTTATAAATAGTAATTGTACGTTTTGTTTTTACACTAAACACCATCAAAATTTCAGCATGCAAAATATTCAAATGATTCAAGAGCTGCTGTGACAGTGTTTATGATTCTTCATGTCAAAATAATACATTGTCATTTAAAATTTTGTGAATACTTTAATTTGTAGTTAACATTTTTCATAATAATCAACAGTTATCACAGGTATTCATAAGTCTATTAAGTAGACCTATGAATAGTAAGTTTCTTTCACTGTGCATGCTCTTTATTGATGTTTCCTTATCTGTTCAAAAAAAAAAAAAAAAAAAAATTAATTAAAAGGATTATACTTATGAAAAAATTAAAACTTTTATTAAATTCTTTTTTTTTTATTTTTTGTTTGTTTTTACAACTTTACCTTCATTATCTTGTGATGGTAGAGTTATTTTTTATATTTAACTGCAAATATTATGTATTAAAATCATTTTAAATTTAGTTGGTATTTTATTTCTTTAGTTCTACAGTGGTGCTCTACCGACTATTATATGTTTTCTTTGTCTACTGTTAAAATATGGTTTTAACTTAGTAAACTTTATTATTTTAAATTTACTATGTTGATCATTAGCTAATAGTTTGAAAAGAAATTAGTTTTTGCAAACAAGGTAAGAATAATTTTATTTTCTGGTCGAATTACATTATTTGTTTGCACCAATAGTTATTATGTTTTGTTATTTTGTGTGATAGCTATTTTGTCTTCGAAATAAATGTTTTTAAAAAACATAATAAATTTTTTCTTTTACAAATATAATAACTTTTTTTCTAACAGATTTTGATTATTTTTAACCATGCTCTAAAAAAATCATCAGCAACAAATAAATTGGTTTGCAGTGTTAATCTTTAATATTAGACATATCTTACAATGCTTTTTCAGCATTTTTCAGGACAAATCTTAGATCTCACAAGGTGTGGGCTCAAATTTAGGGCAAAAGCATCCCTCCTGCCTTTTTTTTAAATATACTTTCAATAAAGCATGTCATGATAGAGATACTTAAGTTGTTAATGTGCTTAGTAACTAGTTAAGTTTGCGCATTAAAGAGGCAACTTTCTTTCTTATAGAAAAAGATTTTACATGCAAACTTGATTTTTCTTTAAAATTAAAGGGGCAAGAGAAAAAAATTAATAGAAATTTATTAAAGAAAAAATTAACCACCATCCCCATTTTTTAAAATTGTTTTATAGAAATTTGTAGAAGTTATAAAGTATTGAACATTTATTGTTAGCTCAAAACAAAGATTTTAATATTTATCTCTTTTTTAAAAATTATTGAAATAAAGAGAAGTTTTTAAAATGGTCGGTGTGTGAATAGACTTACCAATGACCATTATATTATACAGGTCATGATAAGTCTGTTGTTTCACATATTTAAGTCATTTCATGTTTTTTTGAAACATTTTATTCCAATGGTAATTAAATTATTTCAAGCAGGTGTTCTAAATATTATTTAGAGTAGTACTAATATTCAATCCATTGAAAAAAGGCAACGTATACCAAAATGGTTAAAGTTTTTCAAAATAATTTATAATAGAATTTTTTTTATAGCTTTAAATGTAAACAATGAGTATAGTTTTTCTATTTTTATATATTAATTTTGCTTACTTAAAAATATTGAAGTAAGGATTAAGTAAAGAAAAAAGGTCGGTTCAAAATACATTTCCAAGACCCTATAATTTTATGGGTCATGACAGCTAGTTATATATAAATATACAACATCTTACAGCCACACTATACAATAAAAAAGGAAAACAACAACATTATTCTACACGACAGAAACCTAATTAACAACAATTCAGAACTATCGGCACTGTTTCTGCCATGACCCATAGTGACATTAACATTTTTTTTCAACTTACAGCAGGACAACCTAAACCCAATAATATATGAGGAGACAGACAACAAGATAGCCTGCTTAAAGATAATAAATAGATAAGGTAATATTAAATTCAGAATAGAATGAGTAGAAGGCTAAGATACAATAATAATAAAAAGATCATTATACATCAAATTAACCTGCATTTTCTTAAAATTTTGGTTAAATTAAAAAAATTAAATTACTTAAATGTCTATCCTTAGAGGAGAGCAATTCAGCATTTTACAACCTTTGCCAGATACTCCATATATACACCTGGATATAATAAAACTGAGGCAATACTCAACAATAAACCTGTATTTAACATAAACACAGGTTAATGTTGTGAAATAAAACAAATGGATTATATATGTTCAAGCACATATATGACAATATATGTTCAAGTTAATAAACATTAGTTTGTTAACATAAAATACAAACCAAATCATACAATGATTATTATGACCAAATAGATTGATACAACACTCCTATTTTTACTTAAAACCAATACTGCTCGGTCAGAGCAGAATAGTTTTTTAAAGACTATCAAAATAACAGTTTTAAACCCCCTTGGTTCAGCTTTTAAAACAAGGCAAGATTCAAACAGACAAACAAAATTAAAAACTAAAAATAGAGCATTTACAATGTCAACTTATCAATGAAATGAATGAAAAGAAAATATATCAACAATGAAAGCCACACCTAGATAATACCACCAAGATAAAAAACTAACAGATACAAAACATAGAAACAGAAATCCTTTAAACCCAGATTGCATGTAGGTATGTACTTTTGTTTTTCTGTATAAACAGTAATATATTCACATACAATTATCAAAATAACTTTTTAATGAAAGATAAAACAATAACCCCCTCCCCCCCTCCCAAGTTATCAAGTTATTATACTTTAAGTGTTAAAAGTAATATATAAAAGTACCTGATTATTTGCAAGTTGACTTTTCATAGCAACATTATACCAATACAACTGTTCTTCTTTAATAATAACATCAGCACTTATAAATATTGTCTGTACAAACAGTCGTTGCAAAACTGTTGATGAATTATTGAAAGTTGAAAAATTTAATCTAAATTAAAAGAAAATTAATTTAAAAAAATATAAAATTAAAAAATTTAATACTTACCTAAATTAACAGTTTAAAAACAAATTGGCAGTATGGTATGCTAAAATAGTAGTGCTCAACTGAAATTTTGTTTCGGTATCGGTTTCGACCAAAATTTTAATTTAAACCGATACTGAAATTTCAGTCCTACTACTTTTTGTAAATTCGGTATAAAACTAAATTTCGGTTAAAAAAAAAGCGAAGAGTTTTATAGATTTTAAATTCTTATCTAATTTAGAAAAATAGTTTTTTTTTGAGAATTTTTGCAAATTTAGGAAAATAGTTTTTTTTTAAATTTTTGCAAACTATTTCAAGAATTTTCATAAAAATTTTGAGAATTTTAGCAAAATAAAAAAAAAATCTTGTATTGCAGAGAGTATCTGCTAATAGTTAACTTTTGCTATTAACTTATATCGCAAACTTATGTATTAAATTTGTGATACGCATGTAAATCAATTTTAACATAATAGGAGTATAAAAAAAATATAATAGGAGTATAAAAAAACAACAACATAAAATTGCATTTTTAAATAAATTTTTCTAATGAAATTTTTTTTTTTGCCCCAAAAAGTCCTAACAGTCTTTTCACAGAGCACCGCGGAAGTGCATTTAACCAGAAAGTTCATGCCTCCTTTCTTACCATGACGCAAAATATATCCAAAGCTCATTAGCCTAAAGAATAAAACAAGATAAAAACTTTTGAGTCTGGCCAAAAGAGAGCAAACTTATTACTGAAAATGCCACTTAACTTATGTTACACAAAAAACAGGGTAAAAAAATGCTTCAACATTTAGATAAAATTTCTGCGATTCAGTAAAGCGATTTGTACTAGAAACTTTCACAAGATGTTGAGAATTCTATACAAATTAAAAAAATATAAAAAATTTATCAAAGGTGACCGGCTAAGGAAAATAAACTTGATTTTTTGATATTAAATATTTAACTTATGTTATATCGCTTACGTTACCTAGCAATTATTATCGTGGATTTTTTATAGCTAGTATTAAGAGTTAGAGTTATGTAACAAAAGAATTGCACTCATCCATTAAAAATAATTAACAAAAGAAATTTTTAAAAACTGGTAGCACTTTTCCTGAGTGATTTTTTGTAACATTTATGAAAGTTATCAAATCAAAAACAGTTTTTCTATAAGACCAAGAGCAACTTTAAAAAATTATTTTAGCATTACAACTTTATTAATATTTATTTGAGTCATTTAAATAAGAAAATCTTATTTAAATGACTCAAATATTTATTCAACTGGTTTGTCTAATTTTTTAATTAAACTTCTTACGTTTATGCGTATTGGCTTATTTTCATTAGGTTGAATTTTTAAAATGCTGCAAAGTATTTACATGTAAATTTTTTAAAATATTTTTGAAATAAAAACTGCTATCACAGTTTAGCAGGAAGAGGATAGTATATGTGATCGTTTGTGACAAGAGGAAAGGGGTTAAAAATTAACAAATATAGGGTGAGATGCTTTATGGATGATCGCCCTTAATTACATTTACAAACGATTTGTTTACCTAAAGCAAAAATTAAAAAGATTCTTACTGTTTTTTTTTATTTTAGGAGAAGAGCAAATAAATCTTTTTTTTTTTTAATATCTAAATCAAAATATTTATATAAATCTTATTTTTACTTATTTATATATATTTATGTCAACCAAAATAAGAATACATAAACAAATAAAAAAACAATAGTATAAATAACTTTAAAAAAATATAAAATATTTTTTTTCCTAATATAAAAATTTTCAGTTAGAGCCTCGTCAAACCAACACAATGAAATAAGAATTACTTAATGACCTAATTCATTTTGTAAACAAAAACTTAACAAAAAAGCGCCAGAACTTTAGTAAATGCATGTAGTTTTAACTTATTTTACACAAATTTAAAAATGTGCTTTAACTAAGCATCATTATTTAAAACTTTAAAAGTAAAAACTTAACATTTAACATTCTTTTGCAATTGTTGTTAATAAACTTAAGTTTTTTAACTAAATTTTAGAAAAAACAAAACTTCATGTTTTTGTTAACTTTTGTTACATATAAATTGGAAAAGTTCTTTCATTATTTTCTTTAAATATATATAATTTATAAAGTATAAAATTTGACCAACAACAATTTGAACATGTTAGCTCCATTTTCATGCTAAATTAATTCCAATTATGCAAATAATTTTGAATCTTTAATTAACAAACACTTAATCTCTCATATTGAATCTAATAACTTACTTTCTGATCATCAATATGGATTTCGATCTTCTCGTTCTACTGCTGATTTGCTAACAGTAATAACCGATAGGTTTTATTGTACATTAGATAAAGGAGGAGAGGTTAAGGTCATCACTCTTGATAATTCTAAAGCGTTTGATAAATTTTGGCATGCTGGTCTTCTCCATAAGCTTTCTTCTTACAGTGTATCTGGAATTATCTTTAAGATTATCGAATCCTTCCTTTCCAATTGTAGTATAAAAGTTTTCCTTGATGGACAGCACTTGTCTTCTTATTCTGTAACCTCAGGGGTTCCTCAAGGTTCAATCCTTGGCCCTATACTCTTTTTAACTTACATTAACAATCTTCCAGATATTCTCTCATCTAAGGTGGCATTGTTTGCTGATGATACTAACATTTTTTCTTGTCATGATAAGAAGCAAACTCTCAAATTGCTTGGAGAAGGCATTTGAGCTTGAAAAGGATCTCATTTCTGCTACAGCATGGGGCTCACAGTGGTTGGTGAACTTTAATTCAGATAAAAATTAACCAATTGTTATGGCAATAATTTAGACCTTACTATATTTATGAACGGTAATGTACTTGATGAGTCATCTACCCTTCATCTTCTAGGATCAACTCTTACTTCTGATCTTTCTTGGAAACCATATATCAAATCCGTTGCAAAATTAGGATCTGCTAAGGTTGCATCTCTTTATCGAGCTTGACACTGTCTTACTCTGGATTCTATTCTCTATCTCTATAAATCTCAAATTCAGCCTTGTATGGAATACTGTTGCCATATCTGGGGCGGGTCTTCTAATGATGCCTTTTCTCTTTTAGACAAGGTGAAAAAACGCATTGTAAACATAGTTGGACCTGCTCTTGCAGCAAACCTTCAACCATTATCACATTGTCGTAATGTTGCTTCTCTTTCTCTTTTCTACAAATACTATAATGGGCACTGCTCTGAAGAGCTAGCGTCTCTTGTGCCATTTACTAAAATTCATTCTCGTGTTACTTATCATTCAATTAAGTCTCATCCTTTTTCTGTGAATGTACCTAAGTGCTCAAAAAACGTTTATTCTTTCCTTGAACATCAGTTCTTTGGAATTCGCTTCTTTCATCTTGCTTTACTGATTCATATAACTTGCAACCTTTTAAGTCGTCTGTCAATTGTTATCTTGCTCTACAATCTATATCTTTTCTCTTCCAGTAACTTCCAACACTAATTAGTGGTTGCTTGCAGCCTTGTTGGAAGCGAAGTTGTTTAAAAAAAAATAATAATAAAAAACAAAAAATAAATTCATGGTTAAAATAACATTTTAACCATGAATTATATTTTTTTTTTATCATTTTACAATGATACTCTTTTTATCATGTGACTATGAGAAAAACTGTAGCTTTTAGAAGCATAAAAATGACTTATATAAATTAATTATAGTACTAAAAATATATTTTAAATAAACTTTCATGTGTCTAAATCAAAATTAATTTGCTAATAGTTGATGAAAAATAGAGTAAAATTTGACTACTTTTTCATTTTCTGCTGTGGAATTACACTTTACTATGTACTTCCACATACACTTTAGTATATTTTACATTTTAGATATGTTTAAAGATTATAACACTTTCTTATATTTAGATGAATTGTTTTGATTGGATCATTAAATTAATTTTTGTTTTGATTGGACCATTAAATCTGGAAACTAAAAACACCAGGGGATTTTTTTTAAAATAGTTTGAACTTAGTTTGAACTTATTTCCCTAAGTACCTTACCTAAGAACTTAAAAGTAACTTGAAACTTGAAAGTACCTTTGAGGCACTCAGGGAAAAAAAAAATCTCTTAATAATAAGTTTTTCAAAGATACAAAGAAAAAGCAAAAATGTTTCAAGTTTTTATAATATTGCCTAAAGATATGTTTAAAGATATAAAACATTATTATAATAGATTATTATATTAAATTACAATATTAAATATAAAGATATAAAACTGCTTAGAATAGTTTTTTATTAAAATATATGCCAAACCTTTTAAAAGTATCATTTTTAGAGGATAAATTTGTCATGTTGTCATCTTGAGAAACAAAAAAATTCCAAATCAATTCTGAAGCATATTTAGCAATTTCATATACTTGACATTTATATGCAACCTAAACAATTTTATTTCAGTAAAAAATATAAAGTTTTTCTAAAAAAAAAAAAAATTCTAAATTACCTGGGTAAGATATGCAAAAGCCTGTACTGCTGGAAATGAGTCAATAGTGTAAAAAGGACTGCATGCATTTCCTATTGATCCTCCAACTAATATCAGCTTTTCATTAAATGCTGCAACAGCAGCAATATATGCTGTATTAGGAGCTAGTCCTTTAACAACAAATAAACAATCTGAAGAACTTTGTACCTAAGAATAAAATCTTATCGATAAAACTACAACTTATAAAATTAAAAAAAGAATTACAGATTGACATGCTTGTGCCAAATGTTGGTCACAAACAAGTTATTTTTATAAGAAAGTAGTTGTAAAATAAAACATATTATAAAGTTGATTTAAATACACATTTAAAAAATAAAATGTCTACCAAGTCTCCTGTTCCTTCAAAAGATACATCATTCAGTGTGACACCTTTAGAAGTTGCAAGCCTCAGATAAATTGAGTAGTAAGCAACATTTCCTGCAGTAGGAAAAGGTGCTGGTTTCAATACAACACAATTTAAACCTTGACACACCAATATTGGTGCTGGAGGGATTAGAGATCCATCCGTATTCAAATTTGATTTTTTAATGATGTGCAGTTCCTTTTGCAATAGTTGTGATGCTTCCTGATGATAAATTTACAATTTAAGTAAATATATAATAATAATAATAATAATAATAATAATAATAAACAGAAATATATAATAATAATAATAATAATAATAATAATAATAATAATAATAATAATAAACAGACTCATTCATTTGACTCATTAAAATTGAATTCAGAAGATGTTTCTTGTTTTTTTTTTTTCAATTCTGCGAAAACAAATTCATTTTCTAAGAATAATAAAAAATTCTTTAAAAGCATTTTTTTCGCTGTTTTCAAAAAAATTTGCAATTTTTTTTTACAAAAATTTTTTGAAAATATTCTGTAAACAATTTTTAAAATTCTTAAACAAATTCTTTACAAATTTCTTTCTAAAAATCTTAATGTATATCTATCCTAAAAGTATCCATCGATTTATATCTTTGATAAGTATCTAAAATACATTAAAGTCCAAAAATAGTATATACAAATACGTTGAATAGATTTTATTTATGAATCAATGGCAGAAAATGCTCCAGTAGATATTTTATACCTTGATTCTACACTAGGTGACACAGAATTTGTAAAAAAAAAACAAAAAAACTGCAGTACGTTTTCCAGTTTTACCAAACTTAGGAAGTAAACAAAAAAATTTCAGATTTCTAAGTGCTAGAAAGTGCTACATTCGAAAACTTTCTCTATGTTTTATATTTCTCTATATAAACCAGGCTTAAAAAATAAGTCTCAAAAAATCAAAATGTTTCTAAAGTATTTGTGGTTATGCATAATTAGTTTTGAAATAGTTTAAACACAGCATATTGTGGTTTGCATTTTAATCACATAGCAAAATTTGATTTATTTTTTATGTTTGTTTAAACTAGCAAACATATTTTATTATTTATATATCTGTAAAAAATCAAGAAGAGGAAAAAAAACAGTTATCTATAATGCTTATAGGTCTGAATAACTTGCCTTTAAGTGAAGTAAAAGATTCAAACCTAATAAATCAAAACCTTTTAATGTTTTTGCGCACAAAAGATTGTTTTTTGTAAAGACTAGACGAAAATTCTGCTTACTCCAACAATCTGTCTGGAAAATTTTAAACCTCTCAATGTCAAACATAAAAGTTTGTGCAACAGTAAGAACATTAGGATCAAAAAAGAAATTTCTGACAGTCATAAAAATGACTTTTATGATATATAATAGAGCAATTGTTTGAAAAAAAAAAGGACAGATACAGAATGACTATGTTTGCTTGATGGCTAATATGTTGATTGTGCATTTTGATGGTAAAATTGTAAAGCATATTAAGGAGGACAGTTGACAGATAACTACTGCAGACAGATTATCAGTATATGCAAACTTTGGATTTAGGAAAAATGAGGTCTGCAATTGAGGTCGGAAGTTAGGTTGGCATTGCCAAATGCCGACCCTAATTTTGAGGGCTGGTATATGTAAGTAATTCAGAGTTACCATCTGCGGTACCATCTGCAAGTGGTTAGGAAAGGCATATGACTATAAAAATTTTGAATTATCTAGAATATTTTGCAATTGACGACTATATTGTAGGATTCTGTTTTAACACGACAATAAGTAATGCTGGATGAAAAATTGGCTCAATAAATATTCTGGCAAGTATAATTGGTAAACTGGCTTTTTGGTTATTGTGTAAGCACTGTATTGCAATAAAAATTTTGAATTTTCTAGAATATTTTGCAATTGATGACTATATTGTAGGATTCTGTTTTAACACGGCAATAAGTAATGCTGATGGAAAATTGGCTCAATAAATATTCTGGCAAGTATAATTGGTAAACTGGTTTTTTGGTTATTGTATAAGCACCGTATTGCAGAGATAAACATTACTTGGACTTTTACAGCAATTTGAAAGGAAAAGTCTAAAACCCCTGCCAATAAGTTGCTAAAAAGTTTTCAGCAGAAATGAATAACAGAACTTTATCTAAAAGTTTCAGTCAATGGTGTTGTAGAAAAGTTCAAACAATTCCCTGAGCAAGACTTTATTGTAGACAGTGATCTCTGCAAACTTTATTTAAACGCTAAAGAATTAGTTACAAATGAATTAGAACATGAAGAAAATAATGTAAATAATACTTTTTTTATAAATATATTTTAAAGGAAAGAAAATATTAGACTATTTAAAGAATGATTATAGACATCTTGTAGAATATTTTGTATACTAGATGAACATTAAACTAGGGGAATTATTCACAATGCTAGATTTATGACCAATGCCTTATACTTTTTAATACCTGATATGACATCCACAGTCATTAAATATCTTAAATATCATTAAATAGTTATGAAAAAAGATATGGCCTCTATAATAACATTTATTGTTAATTCAACTATCTACTATGGACTTGCCTTTATTTACAACAAAGCGAAGCATGTTGTTCTTAACCATATAAATGGATTGAAAATTGAAAAACAATTCAAATAGAATGAGGAAGATTAGAGTGATTAGCAAGATTAGTGTGGCCCGTGACTGCGCAAAAAGAAATATTAATTTGATTGAAAACTTTGTTTACAGTTCTCACAATAAGAATTAAACACAGAAGATTTTTCTGGTAGGTATATTTTCAAAAGGTGTCATTAAGCTAAACTGGTAAAGCTAAAACTAGAGTTGGACAATTAATCCAAGATAAGGATTTATAACTTTTATATATATATATATATATATATATATATATATATATATATATATATATATATATATATATATATATATATATATATATATATATATATATATATATATATATATATATATATATATATATATGTATATATATATATATATATATATATATATATATATATATATATATATATATATATATATATATATATATATACATGTTATGTTATATTTTGTATATATATGCATATATACCCATCATTATGATCAACATGATCATCATTATTACCATCATGATGATCATGATTGTCATTATCATCATCATCATCATCAACAGTATAAAAGAGGAAGGCTAAAGCCTGATGATGATGATGATGATGATGATGTTAATGATGATGATCATGATGATCATGATGATGATCACGATGATCATGATCATCATGATCATCATCATTACCATCATCATGATGATGATTATGATCATGATGATGATGATCATCATCATGATCTTTTTTTTTTCTTAACTAAAGCTCATTCATACTATATATATAAGGCACTCTCTTCAAGTTTCCTTACTTCTGCCACTACAATATTTTCTACTGAAGCTGCTAGCTCTCTACATACTGATACCTAAATTACTTAATTCTTTTTTAACAAACAATGTTCAATACAACTTTTTTTCTAATCTATATAAGAATATGCCTCCTTATCATGTATTGCTAGAGTCACACCGAACATCCATCTGATTATCTTCTCTTTCGGTAAATACTATACCATATAAATACTAAAGTTTATATAACAATGAAAGAATATTGTATGCCAGCATCTAAATAAATAGCAAACATATATGTTTATATCCATAACATGTATGCATAATGTGCATAGGGGCTGTCCATAAACAACATCACGCAATTTATTACAATTTTTGACCCCCTCTCTCCCCCTCGTCACAAAAGTTTTGACTCCCCCTACAATATTACGTCACAAAAGCTGACCCTCCCCCCTCTTGCATAGATATTGCATTATTCTAATTGTTAAATATAAAATGTTTTTCAAAATTGTCATGTATGTATGTTTAATGGGAAAATTACAAAGGGCAATAAATGGATAATAAAGGAAATTATTATTATCTTTATCATTATTAAATTATTATCAATTATTCACAAGTGATTTACAAAATTTTATAGTTATAAAGGTATAATATTTTCAAAACGTTCAATTGTAGTTTATTATAGTTCAATATAATAGTAATTGTAACTTTTTTTATCTTACTACTATAAAGAAACTATTATCTTGCATATATTTTGCATTTTAAATGAAATAATTAAATATATATGAACTTTAAAATGATTTTAACAAATACAACTTTAAATATTTTTAACACAATTAAATATTTAAAGTAATTGGATCTTATTTGATCCAATTTTAACAAATAAAACATGAAACATTGCTGAATTTAAAAAATTATCAAAAATCATTTTCCCATGGTGAATAAAAATGTTCCTTCATGGAATAAACTGGGAGAGCGTTGACACCAGTATCCTTGGGAAAAGTCATTCCATTTAAATCAAGATCCTCTTCATCAATCCAATCGGCACTTTCACCGTTTTCTACATTAGCAATCAGAACCATTATTTCTTGCTGCTGACGTGCAATGACTCCTTAAGGCCTAATTCTTACGGATGGAACGGTCGATTCTTGGATGTGTGTTACACTATGACTGCGCAGCATGACTATTGATGCAAAGTACTGGTGACATTTCTTGCAGATTCTATCACTAATCGTGGATTGCAGTGATGGACAGTACAAGTCATATGGAATTGACCGATACAGATTTGAAGAGCGGGGAAGGATGTCATCAATTTTTAAACTTTGTGCTGCAAACAGAGATGGAAATTGATGGCATGCTGGGTCCATTGTTCGTTCTGGAACTTTAAGACCTTCGCTTGTTTGAACAACTGGCAACGAACAAGAAAGGAACCTGTCTATTATAACACTAAAATAGGAACTTCTTGGTTTCAAACAGCACTTATTGTCATTACATTTTACAATCTGCGTAAGATATTGGCTCGTTCGCATATGAATATCATACCATTTCTGATCCCTTGACAAGAGGAGTTGTTCTTGTAACTCAGACTCTGTGGACTCAATGTCACAATGTCTGCCACTGTTGGGAAAATATTGATAACCAAGCCTGACCAAAGTTCAGCAAGTGTGGTCCCTGCAAACTTAAGTTTGTCTTCTCTAAATTGACATCAATTGTAACACCTCTCTCGTTCAGATGGCTACCATAGTAGTCATGTGGTAATATCAATCCAGCAAGTTCCTTACTAAGTGGTGCCATTTTTCTTTCAACTCTATTAAATGCACTTCTTCCAA